ACCGTTTACGCGTCGGTTGGGCCGCACTTTTATTACCGTCGAAACGTGCGTACGTGAGATTTTTTGAAAATTTACAAGGGGAGCGTAGAATAAAATAGGTTGGGAACCACTGCTATAAGCGTTATCACATGACAATTGAAATCGCTCTCGGGAACAGCTGCCCCACTAACTTAGTGCGATCTCTGTCAGTGAAAATAATCTTATATTGTGCAATATTATACAATATTACGCGAAGTTATTGTATTTTCGCCTAATTTAAAAGCACACAACCATTACAATCACGACTAAAGATACAAGATACAACCACACGCGCCTAGGTTATAATTATTATTTTTAAAGTGTTTTAAAAAAATATATACACGTTCAAAAGTATTTTTAATATAATTAATTATAATAGGTATTGTGTTTTACATGAAAAATCATGTCGTATTATCTGCCTTTTTAAAGGTTTAAAAACCAGTACGTTTAGGGTACCAAAGAAAATTCCTTAAAGGTTAAATGGGTGGAGGCTCTAGGTGTTACATTAGGAGAAAACTTTAGAATATGTCAATACCATTTTAAAAATGAAGACATTTTATTTTAAACACAGATATCTGAATAAAGAATCAGTAAATATACAGTAATTATTTTATTGGTTTATTATTTTGTATTGATCACAGAAAATTTAATTTTCTTTAATTTTCTAATGAAAAGCTAAAATATTATGAAAAAAAATTCAGACTTGTTTAAAGCGTCCAAAGCTTCGTGTAGGCGCGCTTCCAATTAAGTTTGAATTCCTCGAGATTACACATACATCACCAGTGTTAATAGTAACGATTGTTTTGAACAAAATATGATAATTTAATATTTGCTCAATTATTTAAAAAAAACTACAAAGAAAATCAAAAAACGACATTCTTGTTCGTCAATAAGATTCCAAATTCAACAAAATATATTTCTTAATGTTTTTTTTTTTTCATTGGAGCAATATTTATGGGTGGAAAACATAAACCGTAAAATTTAAAATAATGATATCGTAACGCCGTAAATTTGTCACTTATAATTTTACGATTTTGTCTTAATTATTAATGAAACTACAGAGACAATCAAAAGACGAATAACTTGGTCATAAACTAGATTCAACAAAAAAGATCTCAAGTCATTTATCTATTTCAGCCATATTTATGGTAAAAAACGTAAGTCGTAAATATTTAAAATACCTAATGATAACGAAATCGTTGTGTCATAATTTGGAACAAAACAGTATATATCGTCCTTTTTTGTTTTTCCCATTTATTATGAGAAATACTTTAGATATCAAAAAACGATTTACCTCTTCAGCGGCGAAATATTATAAGAACAAAATCGATCTATGGTCATTTTTTAATTGTAACAATATTTCTGGTAGAAAACATCGTGTTGACAAAATAAATACAATGAATGCGGCGCTCTGCAAATATTTGCTGTTTCACCTATACTTTTCTCTCGGGGTTTTCACGATTATTTCAAAAACCCCTTGGAAAATCAAAAAAATGACCTCCTCAATGCACCAACTAAAGAAAATTACCTTTTACCGGTTTTTCAAATGTTTTGTAATCTTTTATAGATTGTAGCTGGTTACAGTTTGTATACATACCGTAGAAGTGTACTTATACCTACCATACGCAACGATCAACCGTTGCTAACATAAAACGTTCCAAAGCGAAGTTCGGCGATTTATTTTGAAATGCCGTAATTATTATGATTTTAGTCAAAATCTGATTTTTAAACGCGGCTGAAAAAAAAAATAACTCATTAAACTCAAATTTGTTTTTTAGACCACTAACCACAACTTATAATATAGGTACTGTATGTTAAATTTTCAAGCATTTCTGTTTAGTTTTATAATTATATTCACCAAATACATATAAAGTAAAAATTACGTAAAAAACTGGCAAAGTTAAAATACCTATAAATATTTTGTGAAAACAACAGGTTTATTACCATGTTTTATAATTTTTAAGTGAATATTAGTATTATATTTTAGGTGTTTTAAGAGAATATTAATTCGGATTATATCATAGAACTGTCTCTTTTCTCTATAATTAATTAAACAATATAAGTTACATTGAAATATTGCATATGCATAATAATAAATACATATTACAAAGAAATACTAAAGTAAGAGCATTTTATAAATAAATAAACGTCAACCTCAAATGTTAGGTATTATTTTGTAGACGAGTAGATTAAGTATTTGTCACAAAATGACTAAAATTCTATGGTACTCATTACTTTAGAGATCATTTTGGATTTTCTATGAACCAACAACAGCAACTGTTCTACACATTTTAATTTATTTCTTCAACCAATAGTTAATAGGTGTAGTACAATAGAAGAGAGTGATTAGCATCTATTATATTGTATAGATCTCTTGTTTGTATGAACTAGATTTTTTTTTTTCTTAGAGGGGTTTAGCACCCTCAATTTTTTAATTGAAATTGCACCACTGAAAATTATGTGAAGAATATAGGTATAATCAATGTGACATATCTAATTTTTTTATTAGTGATATCTCATACTAAAAGATTCAAATCATTAGGTTTAAATTTATCCATTACCACAGCAATATAATAACTTATTTTATTTTATTAAAGTTTAGATTATGAGCTTAGAGAAGAATGTATTGGTTTTACAAAGATGTTTTTTTTTTTTTATGTGAACATTGTTTCAACCAGAAAGCTTACATCAAGTGTAGCACCTTTTCTGAAAGTAAATGTTCTTTGGGTGGTACTATACAGAGATAATCTTTTGAAATTTTCATTAATATTCAAGATAATGTTGAACACCTGTTTCATTAGTTAAAAGGATTAAAAGATTAAAAATAGGGTTTTCATTGTCATTGTTATAGGTTATTTATTTTTTGTTATTATTAAGTTTTTATTATTTCAATCTTTTTTATACAATCAGTGTTGTCATTGAAACGCACATTGTTATAATCATTTACCATTATATGATATATATCATGTATTGTATTGTTGACTAAGTAACACTATCAACTGAACTCTGCTCAGAATAGTTTTTTTGTGAGCAATTGTTTATCGTTGTTTACAGATATATATTAAATTCCCGTCTGTATCCTACCTTCTCAACTTCCCACTTACAACAGCGGCTGCACCCACATGCGAAATATGTCCATTGTTTTAAATTTTAAATTTATGTTTTAGGTAAATAATTAATGATAACCTAATTAATTTTATATTAATAAACCTGTATTTTTTTTTCATACCATTTGGCTATATATGCATTTTATTTCATTTGCACTTTTTTCCTTTTGCTTTAATTTCATTTGGTTTTTTTTTCTATTGTCTTTCATTCCCTATATTCACTTTAAAATGTAACAATTAGAAAAGCAAGAAAAGTATATAAATTACACAGTTCTATGACTACTTTGCTGTTTTAACATTAGGTAGGTATGAATATTAATAGATTTTAATACACTGAATTTAAATCTGCAATTAGTTTTTCTCTAACTCATCTTGTTTTTTGTTAAATTTTTTCTATAGAGTTCTGGGATATTACATGTATATTATTAATGTTAACCAAATGCATAGAAATCATGAAATGGATTTCAATAAATTTTTTTCGAAATAAAAACCATTTATATTTTGTAAAAATATTTCTAGACTAATTTTATTTAATTTAATAATTAGGAAAATATTATGATGTAAATGAATGAATATTTAATAAAATAATAAAGAATAACAAAATTATTAAAATGGTCTATACTAGTAAATAAATAATGTAAATAAGTATATAAATACAAAATTTATGTATTTATTTAAATGGGTATTATTTATGGATTCTTTAAAAAGTCTTACAGGTATTTCACTTCACAATGGGAAACAGTTATTGCAAAGGTTCTCAAACTTTAATTTAATTTTTAGCAGTTAAAAATTCTCAATTTTAGAAAAACTAGATGTAGGAGAGACAAACTGATTTCAGATTTAAATTCAGCATGTCAACATCTATAAGAATCAAGTAATATTTTATAAACATAATATATATATATATATATATGTTTTACAGGACTGTTATTTAAACAGTATATATATATATATATTACAAATATATTTTATGAACTTGAACAATATACTACAAAAATTAATAATATACCTATATTCATTTATGCTTTTTCATAAACAAGTTTAATGAAAAATTCAAAATAAATTATATACAGTGTGTTCATGGCTAAGAGGTACCACTAAATATTTCAGTCAGATGACCTTGTATTGAAATGGAGTTTTCGGGGAATGATAGGTAGTATCCAAATACACATTTTCAGACAAATTTCANTTAAATGACACCATTTTTTTTCTACAGATTCGGATAGATTATTATTTTTTAAACAATTTTTGTATAAAAAGTTTTTTCTAATTACAAAATTGTAAAAATTATTATGAGTTGAAATTTAATATTTACGAATAATCAGTTTTTGATGAAATTTTAATTATGTTCAACTAGTAAATTGCCCATTACAAATTTAAAAATTAAAATGTATTTATTTACAACACTATTTATCAACAACATTTATCAACATTTATCGAATAAATTGTTCAAAGTTCCTACATTGATGTTCCAAATGATTTAAAAATTCTGTGGATGTGGCAGCGTTTATTTGGTCTTTTCTCAAATTATTATATGCCATTCGTATTTTGTTTTTTAAATCTTAGACATTATTTGGTTTATTTATTTATTTCGTATGGCTTTTAACACAAATCAACTTAACTATCAAACTCTAACTAAAATATAAACTAAAAACAATATAAAACATGATATAGATATGAAGCTATAATGGTATAACTTACAATAGAACTATAATAAGTCAAAAATCATAAATAACAATAAAGGTGAGTCGTTCTTGTGGGTTCATAAACAGATGTCAAGGTTCATAATCCAGGTAATTGCTTCGGGTGTCACTGCATGCAGGCTTTCAAAACCTTGGTTGAATTTTCTACCTTGGCAATCAACTACTATATGATTTATTGTTTGTTCCCCGTTTCCGCAGTCACTGGGTTATCTTGGAGTCTCCACTTATTTAGGAGGTAACCACACCGACCATGATCTGTACGCAGTATATTTAACGTGGACCAGGTACAACGAGGAAGATTCATTCCTAGAACTCTATTATTAGGGTCACATAGTAGCTTCATATTTGGTGCTGTATAGCTTGCCCTTTCTTTTCGCCATTCCTCGGCGCTATCAAACCCTAAACTTATCAGTGTTCTAGCATACTCAACAGGTGGGCTTCTAGATTTTAATCGTTGATTGGGTGTTTGAAGCATCATCTGGTATAAAAGTGAACTCTTGTAATCTACAGATTTCTTAATGGTTTTTACAAGTGCATCCTTCCTACGAATGTGTGGTGGTTTAATATTTGCTAGTGCCGGTAGCCATTGCAGTGGTGTAGATTTAACTGTCCCCCTTATTACTCTCATTACGCTATTGAGCTACGTGTCTATTTTGCTTACATGTGTGCTATTACACCAAACTTGGGACCCATACTCTGCTGTACTATAAACTAGGCTTAATGCTGCTACCCGTAAGGTCTTAGCATCGGCACCCCAGCCTGTTCCAGCAAGCATTTGTACCAGGTTAACCCGGGACCTAATCTTTTTACTGAGGGTACCTAAATGCTCATTAAATGTAAGCGAGCGGTCTAGCGCTATACCCAAATATTTAGGCATATAATTATGCTTTACACTTATACCGTCAAATTCAACCTCAAGTTTGTCATTAGCTTGTCTGTTGTTTAGGTGAAATGCACAAACCTCTGTTTTACTAGGATTTGGCTTTAGGCGCCGATTGCGGAAGTATGTTTTCATTAACTCTAGGTCTTTGGTTAAGATTGCACTGCCGTCTTTTAAATCTCTACACTGGAACGCTATTGCTATGTCATCTGCAAATTGGAACTTTATTTGGTGGATCTGCATATACAATAGTTTTTAAATGCTCCTATAAAAAGAAATCAAACGGAGTTAAGTCTGGAGATCTCGCCAACCATGGAATTATTACATGGGTACCAATCTATCGGTTAGGAAAAATTTCATTTATACATTGCCGAACAACGATGGCGTTGTGCGCTGGTGCACCATCTTATTGAAAATACATATTTTCCCATGTGCGTAATGGAACATTTTCTAACAATAACTGCAATTGATTAATAAGAAAATATAGATATCTTCTACCTGTAAGTGTTTCTTCATAAAAATAAGGACCTAAAAGTTGTCCACCGATTAATTCACACTACACATTTATGCCCCAGACTGTCTGAAAGTTAGTTTCTTGAGACCAATGTGGATTTATATCGTCCCAAAATCTATTGTTTTGTTTGTTCATTATACTATTTGTTTGTAAATTTAGACTCATTGGTCCATAAAATATATCATCGATTTCAAATTGAACACTAAACAATGCTACAAATTGTAATCGTAAATGTTAGACAAAATCAGCTTTATACGGATGCATTTTGTTTTTTATTTCGAAATTTTATGTACTGCACCAATTGATATATACCGATTTCTCGAGATACGCGTCTTATTGATGAATGTAGATAAGTATGTATGAAAGCCATTAACTGAAGTTCAGTCTTCATCAAAATTATTTGGTCTGGGCTGCCTCCGTTGATTTTGATCACTAGGAAATTGACCGTTTACATTTAATCCACGTAAAAGTCTACAGACATAATTGTGAGGTGGGTGAAACTTATCTGGATAACGATCTGCGTACACTCGAGCTGATTGTTGAGCACTACGGTTACATTCACCAAAAATCAAAATAAGTTCGACTTTTTCACTATTATTCATTTTCAATAATTACTCATTTAATAACCTAACGTTATGCACTACAAATTGTCACAGGACTAGTTTCAAATTATCAAAATAATTATTACTCGTCAGTGAAAATAATTTATCAACATTTATTTGTGAAATACATTGATAACGAACTGGATTTGTTATCATAAATATTGACGAATGTTGCCGAAGTCGAGCCATTCAGGTTTTAAGCGGCCCTCACACGGTCAATTTTATTGACAGTAATTTTGATACTGACAGTATTATTGATCGTGTAATGTGAGTACTATTGTATTGTCAGTATGAAAAAACGATACTGATGACTGATGAAAAAATTGGATATCGAACCTTCAGTATTTATTTACTGATAATTATATTGACCGTGCGAAGCGGAGGCCACACAGAACGCTACGCTACGTATGCTATGCAGTGGCGTGGCGAAGTGAAATATTTTATCGGGCAATTCATTTTTTTTTAATGACCTACCACCACCCCTCGACTTTTAGGCATTGATCATTATCATTACCCATGAATGAATGTACAGTATTCTGGGCTGATGGCTTTTCCTAGAATATTTATTATTAATTTTATTATTCTTATTTAATATCATATGACATATTCTGATGAAGTTAATCTTGTACTAAAATTTCTCCACAGACTCCAGTACTCAACCACCAGGCACCCGCCCACCCACCACTTAAAATTATCGGGCAATTGCCCCTCAAAATCACGGCCAACACGCCACTGATGCTATGTATACTATGCGTGCTTTGTACGCTGTGTTCACTATACGGTGTGGCAACACAGAACACGTTATCAGTTATGTTCAAGATGTTGTCAGGTACGTTGCCTTGGGAAAGTGATAGCATAGTGATGATGAAGCTTTGTTATTATTTTCGTTAAATAATAATAATAAACAAAAAAGGAAATGGGTCCATAAATTATGATAAATATGATCGACTGCTGCTTTAGAAATTCTCCGTCGTCGTAATCGGCTCTCCATAAAATTGCGTTGCAAAAAAAAAAAAAAAAAAAAAAAAAAGAGACGAGTCAACACGATAGCGCAGCGCAGGTCGCCAGAAACGTCGCGACACATCGCTAAAAAATATAGCCACAAACCAGACACTCGGCGACCCGTCGCAACGTAGCTAAGAACAAAACGTAGCGTACACTGTTCTGTGTTGCCATTTGCGTTTTCAAGACAGAAAACTAATTTTTTATTCGTATAGCGAACATGGCGCGCGTGGCGTTCTGTGTGTCCTCGGCCTGTGGCAGATACTGACAGTTCGTCAGTACGTTTTTCGCAGCAATTGGTGACGATAGTCAAAATACGTGTACTGGTGAATCCCGAGATAGACAAATACTACGTGATTCTGTTGTTCAATACAAACAGTTGCCGGAATTATTAATAATTAATAATGCCCTTTGGATCTGAAAGTTGCACTTCTTTTATGGCATTTAGATGAGTGTACTGTCTTCGTTTGGAAATCCATTGTTTTACCCATCGTTTCCGTTTTCTCGAAACTCGTTTATTATTTGGAATGGATAAGGCTAATATAATTGCTATACATGCTTTTTGCTGTTCATCCATATCCAGCTGTAATTATATTATTAAATAAAACAAAAATATTTATCAAACGGAGACCAACGCAATCAAACACAAATTAATACTGAGTATTGACGCTAATTAAATACTGACTGTCTGAGGACTATACTGTCAATATGCTCAAATACTGTCAGTGTCTATACTGTCAATAGTATTGATCGTGTGAGGGCCGCTTAAGCCCCGTCCAGACTAGACGACCAGGGGTATCGGAGGCACATGTGACGAGCTTATTCGGTGATGGTCTAGGTGTGGACAGCGCGACCGAACGAACGAACGCCAACGGCGAATGTGCCTTCGGTGAGCGGTATATCAAAGGAATTCATTATCAGTTTGGACAAGATTTGTTGACATTTTAGTCATTCGCCAACCGAACGGGTGCATATTAATGCATTAGTTTTAATAATATGTAATATTTTAATTCAATTTATTCAATTCAAATTCAATAATTTCTCATATTTAAAACGGATTGGAGTGATAAACGATGCATTCAGTTAATAAGTTTATATCAAGATAACCCAATACTATAGGACCCATCGCATTTTGAATACAAATTGAACAAAAAAACATTTGATATATGGTGTGAAATTGTAAAATAAATGAATGCTGAAGTTATTGATGTTCGTAAAAAAAATGGAAAGTTTATTAACTTCATTCAGGCGAGAACGGCAGATAGAAGGAACTACATCTGGAATGGGCAACGATTAGGTGTATCACTCGCAATGGTTTGCATTTCATTCGATGCAATTTTTAAATGATAAATTTAAGCCGAGAAAAACAATAAATACAGAATATACTATTATTAAAGATGCAGCTAGTGGCATTCTACAGAAGTTATTAAAGTGACCAGAATCTTCTCTTCTCAAATCCTCTAGTAAATTACTATCACTGCAAAAATCATAATAATTTTTATTTTTATTTTCAACCACCTATTTAGTTTACTTGCCTGCATGAAGTTAATCGACTTTTAACCATGAAGTCATCAACCAACGCCTGTGTCTTGCTTTTTTTTAATAATAAGTACATTATAACAAAACCAGTACGTGCCATTAATAACTGGTCATAATTTGACATAATTTTATTTAAAATGTAATATTTTAAGTTATTGATTAAATTTTAAATTTGGGAAAATATAAAATAAATTATGTGTATTCTTAGTATAAATGAGCGAAGGCTTTCAAAGGCGGACTGAGTTTTGACCGTATGCCAATGCTCTTACATCGAATTACAGCCAACACCGAATGTGGTTACATTGGCGTTTGGTTGCCTTGGTCATCTAATCTGGACAAGGCTTTAGATAAATGAGAGTAAATTACGAAAACAATTAAGTATTTATTTACATCATATCTGTCAACAAACAGGTATTTCACAGTATCGGAGATATTATATCGATTTTTGAGTATAAGTTGAACATGATTAAAATTTTTTTAAAAACTGAATGTTCGTAAATATTAAATTTCAACTTACAATAATTTTGACAATTTTGTAATTAGAAAAAAACTTTTTATACAAAAATTGTTTAAAAAATAATAATCTATCCGAATCTGTAGAAGAAAAATGGTGTCATTTAAAAAAAAGTAAGTTGCATTGTGCACGTGCATACCAAACGGGTTAAAAATCTGAAATTTGTCTGAAAATGTGTATTTGGACACTATCTATCATTCCCCGAAAACTCCACTTTAATACAAGGTCATCTGACTGATATATTTAGTGGTACCCCTTAGCATGAACACACTGTATATATATATATATATATATATATATATATAATATTATGCATATTAGTAAAATATAGTATTAAAACTTGAAAAATAGCACTAAAAATCTAAAATATGTTAAATATTTAAAAAAATAGAAACACAAAATTTCATATTTAGAGTCTAGTGCATAAAACAAATTTATAGATCACTTTTATATTTATCGGCATGCAATAAAATTATTACTCTATAATTTAAAAAGTACAAGATTATACAACATTGCATTATAAAATTAAAATCAAGATTGTATAGTGTATTTTGGGTTAGATGAAAAAATGTTTGTTATACTTTTAAAATTTGTATCTCCTTTAAGATTGTTTAATCCAAATTAATAAATTAATACAAGTATAATATTCAACATAGTTTAGTAGATTACTAATGAAAATTTAATACAAATAAATTAAAATTGTGTTTCTTTATTGTATATAAATAAGACAGTATAATTTGTAATAATAATACAAATGTTTAGTATATTATTGTACAAGAGATCAAACTCATAAATTTTAATTATTAAACAAATTAAAACTGATATTATTAAAATCAGTCTTTTTAAAAAAAATTTTAAAAATTACATATAAGTGTATAAATCAATTAAAACATATAGTAAGTACAAGGTATTTTTTCTGTACTTTGGTCCTTCAAAATTCTGTATCATAATCCTCAATAACATCCATGAAATTTGTTAACCACATAAATAATTCTTGAACTTTTGTATCATCAAACTTCTTGGAACATACATCATTTAGATCTTTGAAGCAAATAGACAAACATTTTAAAGTGTCCTAATATTTAAAAAATATATATTAGGTATACAATTTATCAATTTCATATTTGAATAAAAACTTAGCACTCTTTTTGTGTGCTACCAATTAACAATATCTCTATGTTATACTACCAACCCAATGCTTGAATTGGAAAAATAAAAGAAGAGTGACTAAAAAAACTTAAAAAAATCAGCATAGGAGAGGTTATCAATATAAGGAATAAGTTTTTATAAGTGCTCAAAGTTCAAATTTTAATGAAAATGTAAAATATGTATCGGTTCATGTGTTCCACATCAAACAAATAGTATAGGAACTCTGCCCCAATTCGAGCACTGTACCTACCAGTAAATTACTAATAAAAACCGTATATATTTTAATATTAATTTCATGTATAAGTAAAGAAATAGTAATAAATTATATTTATGGTTATCAGTATTAATTTATCAAGTGGCAATAATATTAAATTGGTATTTAAAAAAAGGGAAAATTAAAAAAAAAAAAATACTCTATCAAAGAAAAATAAAAAATAATGACAAAATCATGTAGATAAATATTTTATCAGTTACAATATTTTAAGTGTATGTAGTAGTATTTGCAGTATTATTAAGTATTAGTAGGTAGCATACAACATAACAGATAACATTCATTGGTAGGTAACATTTTACAGTAGGTAGCCTACATATAAAAGAGCCTAAGACATTTATACTTTTCTAGTATAAATAAAAATACCTCAGGCCATGATAATTTTAGAATTGCCATAATTTGATTTGTTAATTCATCCATTGTAAGGAAATCATTTTCTATAAAGTATTGTATCCAAGCTGTAATTTTTTCGCTTATAATGATTTTTTCTGAATAACACTTTTCCGAAAGTATATATATATTGCGTTCACATATTATTAGTGAAACTTTATGCAACATTTCATTTAGGTAAGGATGATAAGCTTTCATCACATTTGAATTAATGAGCATTGGTTTGTGAAATGCTGAAATACAAATATTTTAGTTTATGAATTTACGACAAAATATTATGTATTATTAAATAATACATAATACATAACAGTATTAAGCATTATGCGAAATATTGACATACTTGTAAGTAAAACATTATCAATTAGTCTCACAATTATAAATCTGTATAAAGAGGAATTCATTTTATTTTTGTTTTCTAAAATAATCTTGAATATTTCAGCATATTCAAATAAATCATTAGGGGTTAGCTTGTATTCATCCGCTTCAATAATTTTCAAGCTTAATATCTGAAATATAAAATATAAGTTAATTTGAATTTAAAATTATAGCACCATTCACATGACACTGACAAAATCTGTTATTATAGATAATTATAATTAAAATAAGTGTTTAAATTGGGGGAGGAAGGAAACATAATAATAATTGTTTAAACCATAATATTATGATACAATTTTCACACCCTTATAATTCTTTTCAATTTAAGTATGGTCAAAATAAATGTATATAAATAATAATGAAAGTATTGAATTGTTCATTTTTCATTGACTTTTTTTTTATACAAAATTATAAAATGTTATTTGACTAATTATTTTATTTGTTTAGATGAAAATAATAACTAAAAACAAAAGTATGTATAAAGAAAAATGCTAGCTATGCAAAAATGTTTAAAATGTATAAAATATACAAAATGATAATTTATTAACCAAAAACAAAATACAGTAAATAGATACAAGAATTGACAATTGACAGTTACATTACAAATTACATAATAGTTATAAAATACCATAAAAAAAAAAAAATAAAATAAAAATAGTTTCTAAATCAATTATACATAATAGATATAATTAGTAGTTGTTTACAAATTTGTAAGTTTATTATTTTAAAAGTTCCAATGAGACAAGAATTTATTAATAATTATAATTAATATATATTAAAACACAAAAGGTTTATTATTATTTTGTGTCTTTAAAAGTATGTATAATAAAATAAAGACTGATATATACTTCCCTATGGGTGCAGCCACTGTTGTAGGTGAGAAGTTAGGAGGTAGTAGAATGGAAATTTAATGTATATCTGTAAGCAACGATAAATCATTGCTAAGGAAAAATGATTCTGAGAAGAGTTCAGTTGATAATTTTGCTTTGTCAACAATATATATGTTATATTATGATAAAATAATTAAATAAGTATTATACAGGTTGTCCCATGAAGATGTACCTCTTGAATATCTTTAGAGATAATAAAGATAATCAAATGCTGTTTTTTTTTATGTAAATCACAGGGTACAGAGCTACAAATATTTATATTTAAATTTATTTTATTTTATTATTTTCGGAAAAATGTAAGATAATTTTCAGAAAAATAATCTTTACAGAATGGCTATCTTAAATTTTTCCAAAAATAATAAAATAAACTTATTTTTTAAATTTTTTTGATAAAAAAATAATTCAAATATAAATATTTGTAGTCCTTTTCCCTATGAGTGATATAAAAAAAAAAATTTGGTTATCTTTATTATCTCTGGAGATAATAAAGTGGTATATCTTCGTGGGACACCCTGTATATTTTCTTTAATAAAATTTATTTAGTACTGTACTTATTTTTTCATTTTTCTACAGTTTTTCCATGTCCTAAATGTCATAAATGGGAAAGAATGGGGGCTTTCCTATTTATTGTGAAAACTAGTGAGAAAATCAAAAAAATGACCTCTTTATAGTACCTTCCCAGTCATATTTGTCGGGAAAATTTGAAAAATTACCTCCTTAAAGTACCTTTCCTTTCAGAAAAAATGCTATCACTGTAAATCTGAGCAAAATTGCTGGTACAAAAATTGTCCACAAAAAAATATATCATAATATTTTGTTAATTTTCCTGTTTTTTTTCTTTCTCACTTTTTCCTTTTTTTGAGAAAACTGCAGGGAAAATCAAAAAATGATCTCTTTAAAAAACCAAATCTAGAAAATTTGTTTTTGGAAAAGAATCTACATTATATAAATCACAGTAAGCTATCTGTTTGAAAAAGTGTTCACATTAAAAAAATAATTACATTTTTGTAAAACCAATAAATCCCTTGTCCGCTCAGAACCTAAATCTTATCCCACTGTACACATGACTGTGATAAAATGTATCCCGTGTGTCAATTATAGTTAGGATGTAATTTGCATCTAAAATGTTAACTTGCTCTATGCAATTTTTAATCAATACTATTACACCCTCACTTATAAATTTTGTTGTTTGTAGTTAATATTTGATAACCTTTTAAAGGTATATAATTACAATTAAGATTAGGACTAAACTATGATTGCATGCCATGATTATAATGTAGTTTTTGTTGTTAAGGATATTGTTGAGACATTCTAGTTCAGGTAAGTAGTTTAAAATGCTTCTTTTGTTTTATTAATTAGTTTATTGATTCTTCTAGTGTTATCAAAGGCGTAGTTTCATTATCTGTTATATTATTTATTGTTGTTATTATACTAATTTTAACTGTATTAGAGATGAAGTCTCTCTGCTAAATTATATATTATTGTTTAAAATATAGTTGGATTATAAAAAATAAAAAAGATTTATAAAATATGTAATGAAGTTAATTAAGAACCAGAGAAAAAAAATATAATAATAATATAAATAAATTGTAATTAATAAAATAATAAAGTAATAATAAAATTATTAAAAATGATTAATACTCATAAATAAATATATAAAAATAAAATTAACAAATGAATCAATAGGTTGCCTGGAGTATTATGGAATCCCGTTTTACATTTTGACTGTGTTATACCTGATGATGAATTTTCAATTAATAATAATAATAATAACTAATAAATAATTAGTGACACTTGCGTATTAAAATAGAATAATAATGCTCTTAAGTAAGAGTAGGAATATAATATAGATGTAACTATATAGGTAATTTAATTTTTAAACACTTAAAAATCATTTTACATGGTTAGCCACAATGTTTAGTGAATAGTAACTTTAGGTACTATATCTCTAACCTTTTTATCAAAATGATACAAAAAAAAAAAAAAAAAATAGTCAATATTCAAAATATACTTTTCCAGGTATTGTATTGTTAAAATTGATATTTTTTCTCACAATTTACAAAATATTCTAAAATATGCAAAATGTTAAAATATTATTTAACCTATAAAATACTCTCAAATCTCGCAAAACAAAACTAATAACTCAGAATTGAACATTTCTTGCTTTTATAAACTGCATAAGCTCAGTAATGATATGTAAAAACATACACTTGGCGTCACAAAAATCGCACATCTTCATCCCCAACCAAAACATTTAATCCAAACAATAAAGATATAAATTGAAAGTACAGTTAATGACCTCTTATCCGATAGTAGTTTCATTTCATAAACAATAATCATATTCCGAGTATACGGTGCATTAGGAAAATGTATAAATATACTCCTATCTTATCTTATATTCTTTGGCTATAGAAAAATCAGTTTAAAGTGTCAAATGCAGGTCATTCACTTCCTAAACATTGAAAAGGACGTAAATACTCTTTAAACAATATTATTTCAAAAAATAACGTATTAAATGGATACAACTGCTAACGAAGCCGCTCAAGTGGTAGCATTAATGGAATCAGGGATGTTGTCAATGTGATGTTGCACGGCAACTAAACTTGAGCCGTTTTGCCGTTTTGCAGTTTTCCAACGTTATCAAGAGACTGGTGGCTTTATCCGGAGACATGGATCAGGCCGACAACGCTGCACAACGGACAGAGATGATCGTTTTATTGTCTCGACGTCTTTGCGCAATCGATTTTCCAATGCTGTAGAGCTTCAACAGCAACTCCGCGCAGCTCGCAGTACAACAGTAAGCACCTCTACGGTTAGGAGAAGGTTAGGAGAACAAAAAGTTTTGGCCTGCAGACCTGCTACCGGTCCAAAACTGACTGCACAGCACCGCAAAGAACGGTTACATTTTGCCCGTGAACATTTTAATTGGACGCTTGACCAATGGAAGACTGTGCTCTTTTCTGATGAAACAAGGGTGTGTCTATANTTTCCATTGATAGCAAGACCGAGCTTGTGTGCGTTTCCCGAACTGGTGGCGCTTGAGGACAAGGATCGCTAACTTCTGATCGATACATTACAGAGATCTTAGAAGAGCATGTGGTACCATATGCGGGTTTTGTTGGAGATGGGTTTATACTAATGCACGACAATGCTCGTTCCCACACCGCATTAATTGTAAAAAATTATACGGAAGAGGTTGGGATCCCTGTTATGAACTGGCCAGCGAGAAGTCCAGACCTAAACCCAATTGAGCACCTCTGGGACGAATTAAAACGAAGAGTGCGGTCACATGATCCTGCCCCATCAACCCTCCAAGATCTTCAATATGCTGTTGTTGCGGAATGGGTGAACATTTCTCAAGAATGCATCGTACGACTCATAACTTCTACAAAAGATCGTATGGAAGCAGTAATTAAGGCAAGAGGAAGCAGCACTAGATTTTAAATAACATTTAGTAACAGTTTTTTATTTTTATATGAAGTCTATTGTCTGTTTCTGTTTGTAAAACTGTATATCCTCAATACAATTTGTTTTCCTCTTCCACGATTAACTTATTTTTTAAAACACTGATAAACAAAAACACATACCATTTATTTATTTTTCAAGTTTATTTCATCACCTTTCAAATGATATATCATAACAGTACCCTTATATATGATTAAGTGTAGTTAAAATTACTTTGAAAAATAATTTGCAATAGGTGCGATTTTTGTGACGCCAAGTGTATAAATCTGATCTTTACTTATAATACTCTAGGTGACACATTGATTCATTTATTTATTTATTTAATTTTTATATATATTTATTTATATATATTTTTATATTTATATTTATATATTTTTTTTAAGTCACTATTGGCTTTTATATGTTAAATTCTTGAGTTTTCATCTTTCCTTATTAAAATTTCAACATTGGATATCCATATGAATTTGTAATTGTTTTCATTGACTGCTGATATTGCTTGACCAAAAAGGATCCTTTAACTTTTGATATGGTTTTGGGCCAATATTTTGCTAACATATTGGCATTTAGTTTATTGATTTTTAATTTACAAATTAATTTACTTCTCACATCTTTATTTTCCAACTTAGCAATGATTATACTTAGTTAAGATTTCTCTAAGGTTATTCTTCTGGCTTTTGTAACATTTAACTCAATGTTAATTGTTTCACCAATTTTCTTTATTATATCTGAACAATTTTCATGTTCAGTCTTGGGTATTCCAGTTATTTGGATACTTTCACCCAGATTAAGTTGTTCAAATTGTTCAACCTTATATTTTATTATCTTAATTTCATTAGTAACTCTAGTATTTTCTAGTTTGATTTGTTTATTCTCTTTTTTAATGTATTTTTTTTTTAGATATCAATTAAAGTTTAATTACAAATGTAAAGCCTTGATTACACTGAGCGATTTTACACACTATGTGTCAGCAATTAAATTCGCTCGCTAGTCGTTTGTGTGATATACACGTGACAAGAAGTTGTTATTGATATAGATAATTCATTCAGTTTCCTTTTATATTTTAAATTTTAAAATTTATGATGAAGTAGAATTGTAATAACATTGATTTTTTAAAAATTTACGAACAGTATCCAATGCTTTGGAACATAAAATAAAATAACTTCTTAATTAGTCAGTCAATCATCTGTAACAATGTATCAAACTGGGCCCTGTTCATCCTTGGAATATTTCGGTAGGCCGCAGAGTCTTCGGTTTTTAATTTTTTTAATAATGTACTAGATGCACCATATATTTCTCTTGCCTTGAAATCCAACTTCTGGTCCATTATCTTTTATTTTTATACTTTTTCTAGTATAAAATACAATTAAAATATGAACACATATTTTTATATTTTATAAAAATCAAATTACAATATTAATTTGTTGTTATTACCAAGTAGTGTTCATATAACTAATTGGTTTCCTTCTTGTTTATCAGTCAATAATTTTTCTACATAAAATAAGCATTTTATTTGGTTGCATTATTTAAAATCAGATTTTCAATTAATTTATAAAAAATGAGACAGTAATAAGAACTATAAAAAAAAAGAACGTAAAAAATAATTTGCAGTAATAAATTTTTGACCCGAACATTCTAAATTATGAAACATATTATAATTACATAAACAGCTTGAGAGCATTAAAAATAAGCTTACATAATACTCTTATAAGTAGTTAATAGTTAATTAGTGTTTATTTCAAATTATTAATGAAAATACTTACATTTAAATCCAGTAGTAATTTATTGTCAGGAATGAACAAATCTGTATCTGGCTCATTGTCAACATGGGAAGACATCAATAATTTATGCAGATTACTACCATCTTCATTTATTTCACCATTTTTTAGATTTTGTTTCAATTCTGTAGAAATATAGTTAACAAATGTATCTGTAAAAAAAATATATTTAAACAATCAGATTTTGTATGCAGTACTAAAAACAATTTAATTTGTTTACTTTTGATGTTTATATGATTTTTAACCCATTCTGTGACTAACTCTTTGAATTTACGAATTGTCACAGCATTACAAAATGGCAAGGAATTAGGACTTATAATGTTAGAGTCCAATAATTCTTTTAAAGAATTAGGAATATTAATTTTGGAAAAATTATCCATATATTGTTGGATGGTTGAATTCATAAAAACATTACACTTTTCTATATCAGTTCCATCAATATGAAATTCTAGAACCTATAAAATTTCTTTTTTTAGTAAAATAATGTGTGGTTATCATCAATGTTTAATAAAAGAATTAAATAATTACGTACTTTTTGGTTGTCAACATATTCTTTGAATTTCACACATACAATGTCAATAAAATGATTCTTTACAGCAGCCATACCTTTAGTTTGGATCTTTTTAGTGCAAGATGATGCTATTCGTTTAGCAACAAAATCAACAGTTATTAACACTGAAGAAGAATGGTTCTCAAAAAAGTTTGACTCCAATTCCAACTTAAAACAAAATTTTTACTAATTTCAATTAAAAACTTTAACCAGATTTTATACTTACCTCTACAAGTTGATTTTGTTTTACTTTCCTAATGGGAGAGCTCAGTACAGGTGAGATAAATTTTAATTTCTTGTTGTCAACTTTGCATTCTAATATATTACGATAGGTATTTAATTGTGGACAATAGTGATAAATTTGTTTAGTATTTATCAATAGATCGCTTTTAATGTCTTTAAAAATATTTCCAATGAAACCTGAAACATTTAATATAACTATTTTCAGCATCTTAACCAATAATAATTAATTATTACAACCAATTACTTTGATCAACACAATTTGTAGAATTATCAAATAGTATATGAGGTGCCACATTGATGTATTCAATCAAACAATTAAACTGTAACTTCAACATAAGTATAGAACCTGTGGTTATAGAATTATTTATGCATATGGAGTAAAGCATAGTCAACACGTTTTGATAAAAAGGAGTTGTAATTGAAATTATATCAACTTGATACATATACTCTATTATCCAAGAAATTGTTAATATGATCGCATTATGTCCTTGTTTGGAAGCCAAATTTAATTTATCAAGTAAATTTAATGGTGGTAAAACCTATATACATTGCACAATATTTAAAGTTAACATAATAATATAATATATAGCATTAGAATATACCTTGGATCGCACTTCCCACAGATAATCTTTCAAAGATGGGTTCAATATATTGGAATCTTTATATGGATAATAAATGGTAAAAGCCAAAAATTTTGCTAATAATCTTAATGAATCAACATTAAAAAAGTAAGTTTGTTGATACATAGTTCCTGTAATTATATTTAAAAAAAAAATTAATATTCTACTTAAAATATAAAAATAATACACACCTTCTAAATCTAAAGCCCATTCCATTGTATTTAACACATCTATTCTGTGTACAAGAGTATCAATTAAATGTTTACAAAAATTTCCATTGTTAAGGAATAAAATAATGAATTCTCTGAAGAATGATTGCACCCCAGTGAATTCATTTGCCGAGTCAAAACTGTGACCACTTGAATAGTCACGTTTAGTAATTCGCTGATGTAGTAATTCTAATTTTAAGGTAGATAGATCTTGAATTGTTTTATTTTTATAATCCAGCTATAAATAATTACAAACAAATATTAATTTATAGCAATAATATTGAGTAAAAAAAATTTAAATTTTTGAAGTTTTCAGTTACCTTTGAATCTTCAAATGAAGAATTTAACAATAGACCAACAAATAATTTGGTAAATTTAGTCATATTAATAGCACCATTATTTTCAGTAAGCAATTTTGAAACAGTTGCTAATTTGTTGGGATTCAATTGAAGCTGATTTTGTTTCCAATCTTCAAGTAAATCATAAAATGCATCCCTTTGTGATTTGAAAGCATGAAACATTTTAAGGGTTGGAAAACAATCTTTGGTATCTTGTTCTTCATCAAATTTAACTTTATCTTTAGTTATACTTGAATTTATAAATTTAATATCATCATTTACATTCTAGGAATGAAGAAAAAACTTTACACTTTTGTAAATATATATTAATTATTAATATTAATTAGGTAAAACATATTTACTAACTGTAGAGTTATATGCACACTCTAGCATTTTAGCAAATTCTGGTACATATAAGTTAATCGGTTTTCGTTTTAAAATAAGATTAATAATTGGCTTTTCCAAATATATTAAAATTGATGACAAATGCTGTATGGTTTTTGATGCAAAATAATGGCAATCTTCTGGTGATTTAAAATAGATAGTATTGGAATTAAAACTGTCATTATTGGATTTTGTTTCAGGCTTCTTGATAGAAAGAAGTGTAAATACATAACCTAATTCATGAAATAAATTACACAAAATGTTAGAGTTGATAATCGTAGCATAGAGACTTCCTAGTATATCCAAACTCTTTTGTTCGTTCATAGAAGTACCTGAAAATTAAAAAAAAAAACATTGTTATTTTTTATTCACTGTTAGTATTTAAATAAAATGGCATTCTTCTTTATCCCAGTAATACAAAATTAAAATTGTTTATTCATTAATTTATTTAGTTATGATATAAGCATTAATTTAATAATGTCTTTTAATTGCACCCATTTATAAATATCTATAATTGAAACATTTTTTAGTATTTTACATTAATTATAAATGTTTGATTTTTAAGATTATTTCCTACATTTTATATCAGCTTCAATATCAAGTACAATATGAGTGCAAGAATTTGTAAATATATATATATATATATATATATATATTTTATATTACAAGTAAATAGTTTTGTTGAGAACACTTGGTTTAAAACATTGTTTGTATTTAGCTAAGTAAGCAATATATAATTTTTTTGTAATGTCTTCCATCACCGAGCGCATGAGATACGAATGTCATGCGGTCATGCGGCAGTCGAGTAAAACAATGATTCCGTATAGTTATACGTAGAACTTATTAAATGTCTTTTTTAAATAAATTTAAGTAATAATAAACAATAAGTAATTATTTCAAAACAGATGAGTTCAGTGTTTGATTAATCCCAAAAGTCGAACTCAAATGAACAAGTATCCGTCATCATTTATGGAAGAAACCAAAATTGACGGTGAACCCGGCATAAACCGGATATAGGATACAACAGTTTGAAGACTATATATTTTGAAATAGATAAGATAATATAAAACTATTGAATAATTAATAACATATATTATATGAGCATTTAAGAATTAAACTAAAAATAAAATCAATGTATCATAAAAAGATAAAACTTACTATTTAGTTTAAAATTTTGGGTTTTTGAACTTAATGTATGTATTTGTACAGTTTTTTTTTCTTGATTAGATAATTTATTTTTTGATGTAGATGTTTTCGGTACAATTTTCTCAGCCATTGATGATTCAACTTCTGGTACATTAAATGCATTGTTTATAATAGGTTCGGTTTTATCTGATATGTTTATAAATCTGAAATATTTGATACATATATCTTAAATATAATAAATAAATTTACAATGTATGCTGTCTAGATTTATAAATGAAAATATTATAGCAGTTTTGAATTGAATTACTTTTTACAATAAATACATAATGTATGTGCCTATTGAATAAATTTGAATAGAACTAAATTTAACTAATTACTTTGTTTTGAAATACTCATGTACACTAACTAAATTACCAACATTAAGTTTATTATTATAATTAGAAATGTATAACTTTTAAATTCTGAACAACAAAATTGTTAGTTTTACTATGTGTATTTTTTCCTGTAAACCAGATATTGCTCTAATCATCAACTTCAAGTGTTTTGTAAACATTTTCTGGTATTATTTTTTAAAATATTTGGACATCTTTTGAGTTATTTACAATTACTTAAAGTTTTCGAGTTTTTGGGATGGTATAAATCCTCAAAAATTATATATCAGGTTGCTTAACATTTTTCTAATGGTAGGTAGTAAAAATTTAACTCATTTTATTGATCAGTGATTTAATTCTAAATTTTGACAAAACTAATATACATTTTCAACTATTTTTTCATAAATTAGATTTGTGAAGCTCCGTAAAAATGAACAAAAATGTGATACAACATTTATCATGAAGTATACATAGTGGTAAAAAAAAGTTGAATGTAACATCATTATTTTTCTTTTAGCATTTCTAGTTCAAATTATATGATCAAATTTATTATTAATTGAAAATTACAATTATTGTAATTTTGAATGTAGTTCTAAATTGATTAAAATTCCAATTTAACTTTATCAACACATTTTTAACTAAACTCACCAAAGAATCATTTTTTTGTTTGCTATCATTTATTGTAACGTACAGTATAAAAATTAAATTACCTGTATATAAATTTATGTTTAAGGATTCTCATTTAAATAATTAGTTTTAAAACTTCATTCAAAACAATGAAATAATTTTAGTAACACAATTGTGCAGTGATAAAGGAATTTTGGTACATAATAACAAAAATTTCAAATCAAAATTTAATATAAATGTCATTGATTTACTTACTGCGCCGTCTTGCTGTGAACAAAATCAATTACATAAATAGTGAATTCTATTTTTCCTACACCAGGACGAATAATCTATAAACATAATGCATTCAATTAATTTTACCAAATTTAGGACATTCACAAATTAAATATCTAAAATAATAGACTATAGGAAACTGTTTTAAAAAATATATTATTCATAATAGATTCCTAAGCTTAAAAACTTACTAATTGTTCAAACGATTTAATTTTCTCTAGAATTTCATCCACACAAATTTTTTTGTTCAATAGATTATCTAATAAAGTTGCACATCGGACTTCAGATTTAGTCATATAATTTTCCATGATTAATCTAAAAAATAATAATTCTAATATTAAACACTGATTAACATATTTTAATACTACAAATTCTATCCTATAATATGTTATAACAATTATTTATGGTTAACAAATTTAAAACACTTACACCAATAGATTTTCAACAATATAAATATATTCAGATATTATAACCAACGAGATTAATCATAATAGATAAATAATTTGTATTCATGAAAAATTTATAAATTAATAATATTTAGCTTGACACAGCACATCTTAAATATTGAAACACAAAAACTATGATAGTACTTATGTACCAAAAATCTATTTAGGCTTAAACTTATGGAAACAAACTTGCTTGAACAAATAGGTATTAATGGGAAATTTAACTATGTGAACTCCTGCAATACAGTCAAATGATTATCAAAAGAAAATAAACCATTAAAAACAAAATATAAAAACACAATTGTTACAATAAACATGCACACAAATAATGTTTTCTCCCAAGCAAATGATTCTATTGTAATCGACTATGGTAGATGACTTAACATTATCACGTACTGATAACAGCGGTTGTTTCCTAACACAGATACATATAATATATATATATACATATATAACTCTTGGACCTTTGTACGTATTGAAGAAACTAATATATTATATTGAAAATATTGTATTCTATACTATTGTATACTGCTCTGCTATAAGTTAAGTGGGCTTAGTGGTTTATTTTATGGTGAAATAAAAATATAAAAAAGTCTCAACAATGGTTAACCTTAAAATATCCTACCAAAAACACCGAAACTTTTTAAAAATCACAAGACCGGAACACTTAATATGTTTTTTTTAAGTACCGAAACCGAAATTCTATATTTTCGAGAACTGAAACCAAACCGAAACCCTTAAAGGTTCCAGTCAAAAATAATATCTAATATATAAAAATAAATCTCATATTTAGAAGAATTACAAAAATTTTCAGCCACGATTTAAAATTCAAATCTATTAGAACTTACAACCAAAGCCCGAGAATATGCTGAACTTGCTGCTCTTAATCACAAAAAGCACTTTAATATTAAAAACTATTTTTCTAAATTATAAAAAAGGTTCAAATTTGTTACTATTAATGTAAAATGTTTTTTTTAGTTCTTTAGTATTATACACAAACACATTTAAATATTAAGTTATACATTATAATCTGACTGTATAAATTTACGTTGTACGAAGTACATATTTGCCTAAAATATAATTTTTTAACACATATATACATACACGGTCTTGAAACTTTTTTTTCTACCTCTCCATAACGAAAAACTCTATATAACGAAAAACTCTATATAACGAAAAAATGTTTGGTCCCAAACGATTCCGTTATAGAGAGGTTTTACTTTATAGGTTAAAATCGTTGATGAATTTAGGATATTATAACAATACATAACCATGATGATAATTTATAATCATAGCGTTAAGTAGGTATTATGGAACAAAGTATACTTATATAGAACACAAGCTCATTGGATGAAATATTTGCTGAATATAGATTTATTGGATCAAATGTTTATTAAACAAATTGTTTGTGGTAGAAATATATTGTATAACAAATATTTCGTGGTTTGTTTCCATGACCATTTATTCCAAAAACCACTTTTTCCACATTTTATTCATGGAACAAGGTATTCATGGAACAAATGTCCATTGGAAGAAATTTTCGCGGAACATAAGTCCAACAGAACAATGTTTTTGGGAGAAATGGTGAAATGTGGAACAAACGGGTTACACCCAAATATTACATTTAAAAATTAAATATTACAATGGTTAATTATTACCTAACCGTGTGTAAGCCGTGTATTGTAACTATGTTGTGGGTTAAACGATGATAAATCTTGTATTCTTTATTTTATTAAAGATGTTTATAACATCATTAATACAGTAGAAAAAAAGACGTCATACGGACAGGTGCAGCTACTGTTATAAGTAATTTAATGTATATCTGTAAGTAACGATAAACCATTGGTAACGAAAAACGATTCTGAGTGGAGTTCGGTTAATAGTGTTGCTTTGTTAACTATATATATGTCATATTATAGTAAAGTAATTGCATAGGCATTATATATATTTTTTAATATTTGTTGAACCTATTTTTTTGTTTTTCTAGATTTTCCCATGTTTTTTACCATTTATTGTGAAAATCAAAAAATGACACCTCACTAAATGATTTTATTTCCTTTTAGAAAAAGTGCTAAATTTGTAAATTGGAGCAATATTGCTCTTTATAAATTCAGCCATTTCAATAATAAAATAATAATTAACTGAATTACTCAAAAATAATAAAAACGAATAAATAATTAGACAAGCGTACATTGACTGTAGGTGTTGTACGAAGCACATCCATTGATTTTACAAAAATAAAATAAGAATTGAAACAATTTAATCAATCTGTGATAGTCATGAAAACCAGTTGATATTTATATAAGTATCAGCTTTTGTGACCAACCAAAAATAGTTTCACTGTTTAGCTAAAATCAAAGGCTTATAAAAATAAATAGGTAAAATATAATCTTATAATATTATTATAGGTAGATTGTCTTTCTCACTGACGATCTATTCCTAAATTGGCCGAAAAGTGAAATGGCTGAAAAAGGAAAGGTACGATCAGGGATGGGCAAGTTACAGTACATAGTGTAACTGGATACAAGTTACAAGTTACTGTAACTAAGTTACATTTTAAGTTACAAGTTACACATAAATACACAATAAAATGTATTCAATTTTTTTTTTTAAAAAACAAAGCATTAAACACATAAAATTACTCATATTATAATAAAATATGATTCAATCAACAAATTAATAATTTTAACTAAATAAATTAAATTATAATTATAGAAATTCATTAAAAGTAAATTATTGAATTTTTACAATGAAACTTAATGATAGGTACCTTATAATGCATAAACCGTATACTTTCCAATAATCCCAATATTTATCATTTTTATTATTTATACATGAGTATAATTAATTGTTTTAACCTAACAAAGCCTTCTTAAATATTATCATAAAATAAGTATTTTATAGAATTAAAAATAATGTGTAACAAACATGTAGGTACATACAAAACTATAATATTATTGTGGTCACAAAATAATTTTTAATAAATTTAAATTTTTAACTGGAAAATTAAATATTTACTTGAATTAAAAATAATGTAAAATATTATTCTTATGATGTACAAAGATATCAAAAATAAATTCAAATGAGTGGGTACTGTTTATCTTAGTTTTGTTGCATAGATATATTAATTAAAATGATAATACACTTTTAGTTTTTATAAATCAATTAAAAATGAGTCCATCTTGTCCATATTATTAGCACTATTATTTACAAATTATGTTAATAATATTAACTATTAATATCATTTCCTTTAAGAAACACAAGTTTTTCAAAATTAGTGTTCGATAAATTACATTTATTAGGGGCATAAATAAATCCATTAAATGAAAACAATCTTTTAACTGGAGCTGATGATGGTAAAGTTGTATTTTATCTGGTGAATAATATTTTTACAATAGGATAACTGTCTAAACATGTTAATGCCTTATTTTTATTGTTAAAAAACTGAACTACTTCTAAATTAGCCCTAGAATCAAAACACTGTTCCTGAGAAGAAAATATTAAAAATTCCTCATCATCTATATTATCTACTGATGACTCAGTGTGAGAAGAATTCACTATATATTTTTCAGCAGTGTTGATACAAAGATTTTTAACTCTATTTTTCATAATTTCATTGTGTTCAGGAATCCATATTAATTTAAAAGTAGGATGAAAACAAGATGCCAATACAGTTTCATCAACTTCAGGGGAGAGATCAAAATATAGTTTGAATCATTTTTCTAACGAGGTTATTAATGGATCGATAAAGTTGAAAGTATAAAGCAATTGTTGTTCCTTAAATAATTGCAATCGACTGTTTAATGAAAATAAAGTAGGAATTAAATAGCTATAGTAAAAATTTGATTCAGTTTGTAGATGATCCTGAGCACAAGCGATTGGTTTCATTACTAAAACAAATTCAGACAAATAACTTATGTCAGTTTCACTAAATTGATACTTTAAACTTGATTCTTTAGTCAAGGTATTTAATTTTGATTCATGTTCAATTAATTGTGATATGGAATCATATAATGAATTCCATCTTGTAAGAACAGGATATTTTAAAGAACAATTAATTATATTACTAATAACTTATGATGATTTAGGTTTTCGTGACAAATTCCATAAGGTCAAATATTTGATAATGCTGGATGATAGTACTTTTTGGCATTTTAACTTTTTAATATATTCTGGAAATCTGTTGTCACTAATAGACTAAGTCAGGGGTCGGCAACATGCAGCTCGCGAGCCACATGCGGCTCTTTCGGTCTTAAGTTGCGGCTCTCCAGCTGCACACACAAAAATTAATATTTTAGTTCAAAAACAATATTTTATAATATAAAAAAAAAGTATATTATTTTTGTTGCTTTTGGAAATATGAAATAACACATCACAAAAATAATTTGACAGTGCCCGCATGGAGTACAGTCTATAGTTGTAAAATGTTTTTTATAGAGTCTAATATAATCGCGACGCTATCTACAACTAATTGGTCATACTGTCATGCCAAGACATGCAAAGCTAATGCTCCCATTGATGTATTCCCCTATTATTAAAAACTGTTTTTTTTTTTTTTATCATAAATTTATTATATTATTATAATTAATTTCATTATTATTATGTCTATTAAAATTTAAAAATAAAATTATATTTAAATACTTAAGAAAATTTTTAGTGGCTCTTTAAAATCTGGAAAATTTTGTACATTGTAATTTTTGGCTATTCCGTCAAAAAAGGTTGCCGACCCCTGGACTAAGTGTATGTGATGCACAACATAAATGTAGTACTGGTAATAAGATGTTTCCATCTTCATTTCCATCAATAACCAAAAATGATAACTCATAGTATCCGTTAAGATCTTTGTCCATATCTAAATATATTGACCCGTTATAAAATTAAGCATTATAAAATAATTTATGTATAATATATACCTCTGGGTCTGAATCAGTGTTTGATGTCTTTATTTTACAACCAAACTCCTTTAATGATTTTACAAAGTTGTACCCATTATCTATTACTGTAGAAACTATGTTATCATTACTTAAATGAAATTTGCTAAATATATCTACCATAATTTCTCCAATTTTATCAAATGTATGTGCACCAAAAAATCGTTGGTTAGCTAGAACACAACTATGACGGTCTAATGTTTTGTCATCGAACTGAAAATAGTAATGCCTATAGCTGCTATAGGCTAAAAAATAATCAATTTTACCCAGTGAGCTGTAATGCCTATAAAACTGCGATATTTTGTCAACCAAATGTCAGCAGTTGTTCAAACGTGGACTTCAGAATGTATTTGAAAAAATAATTTTAAATTATTTGAAATATTGTTATATTTGTGATTTATACGTCTACCAACCGTTCTCCTAGATATAATTTTTATATTTGAATCTAAATCTGAATAAGTATATTATTTGAAATTGAATTAAATAGAATTTGTGTATTTTATAAATAATCATAAATAGGTACTTACCCAAAATATGTTTTTGAAAATCTTTATTTTCAATTATGGATAGGGGTTTCATATTGTTAACAATATAATTAACCAAATTATTTTCATATTGGGTTTGCTTCAATCTTCTGCTGTTAGTTGGGAATAAATTGTTTAGAATTTGTCATACTTTTATTATTTTTCTTTTGAGTATTCGTCTTCACATAATTTTCAAATTCTTCAAATTTAGTAAAATGAACCCTCTGAAAAGTAGAAAATTAAATCATAATTCCATTCCCTTTTAATTAATAATATATATTGTAATAACTACAAAAATTAAAACTTGCCTTCATATGAGTACGAAAATTTGAAGTGTGTTTAAAAGAATCAGATATTGTTTTTTTTCATTCTTCTGTTCTTTACATATTATACATATTGCTTTCACAATTTCATTCTCAACAGTTACAACTTCAAAAAATTTTCCATCTAATGTAGCGGGTGTTTTATCCATATTTAACAAAAAAACGCGTCAAAAATCGAAAAAAAAAACGGACACTAACAAAGTATAAATTTAACGGATACACAACAAACTTCGGTTAAACTAAAACCAGTAATGCAATGTTTTATTTTTATAATATTTATTAGAGTTGTTATTATTTTTATACGATTAGATTAGGAAATGTCAAAATACATACGGTGTATTGCATACTAAATCATATCTACGGTTTTTCCAGGCTTCTATATTCATGACGGAATTCTAAATATTATTTACACCGATACAATTTGATTTCCACGATTATCGTATTATTACCTATTATTATTGAATTATATTGTTATACTTATAGTATACAATTATCAAGTTTTCAGATCGAGTAATTGTGTGTTTAAAAAATTTATTTTCTAAGACTTATGATAATATTAGCATTTTGAAGATAGTAGGTATCTATCTAAATAAACAAAAATTATAAAATACATCATATTTGTTTAGCTTTCTCAGTCTTTAATGAAAATATTCAAGTTTAACTTACATGATATCATTTTTATTGAACACAAAAATTACATAATTATTATAGTATTGATAATAATGTCATGTATATCTTATACAATCTTATGTAATAATTGTATTGTAACAATTTTGAATTTTTTTTTTTTTAATGACTTTTCTAACTTAAGTTACTTGTATCTAATTGTTACAAGTTACATAACAAATTGTAACTCGTTACATTTAAAATTTACTTTAAAATTGTCTAACTGATTACAAGTTACAAATTACAAAAGTAACTAAGTTACGTAACTTTGATACATGTAACTGACTACTACCCATCCATCCCTGGGTACGATTTTAGTCGAATAGGGTCTCGTCCATTTACAGTTGATGTATCTATTGCGTTTGTGTACGCATATTATTAGGGTTGCCAGACGTCCCGTATAATATGGGAATGTCCTTTTTTTTGACTAAGTGTCCCGTTGTCCCGACAACTCCTGTCGGGACACTGAAATGTCCCGTTTGCTAAAATATGTACCCATATTATATATTGTATTCTTTTTCGTTTTGAGATAACAATTACCTACTTGTTATTCATTATCACTACCCGTCGGCCACATAGATAATAGAAGATTATAATATAACCATATGACCATACCGACCGATACCATAGACCTATATAGGTCTTTATAGGTCTATGACCGATACCGATTTCGTTTCTATTAATAGATTGTTATAATTTTATATAATGTTTATCATTTCGCATACTATTATAAAATAGATTAGTCGATAAGAAAATTATTATTATTCTTATCTGTTCTATCATAATTCATAGTCTGGTCAGACCACAGTAATATACATTAGTCTATAATCGTTTTTATAACATAATAATATGATAGTTGAGTTTTAATTTTTAAAATGCCCAAAAGAAAGTGCACATTTAATGAAAAGTTACAAAGTGAANAGCATTCAGCATTGAACATGGTGGTAAGTCGGATAATACACAACATTTAAAATCGGAACGACATAATATAGCTGCCAGAGCGTCTAAATCTCAAAAATTGTCAAATTTTTTTTCTCCAAAAACACAATTTGCTGATAAAGAACAAAAATTAGCTGCAGATGAAGGAATTTTTGATTATCATACTTGTAAACACAGTCAAAGTCTCAATTCTATGGATTGTACTTCTCAGTTAGTTCGTAAATTATATGAGAAAAAATTTACTTGTGGTAGAACTAAAACAAAATCTATCATCACTAATGTATTTTTACCCTATGCTGTTAATATTTTAAAAACAGATTTACTCAAGTGCAATTTTGTATCAATTATGACTGATGCATCTAATCATAATTCTCAAAAAATGATACCCATTCTTGTTCGCTATTTTATATGGAGGTGTCCGTTAATGGAGATTTCACTGTATTTGAAATAGACATTTTTTTAGTCCCGTATTTTGAATTTTGAAATCTGGTAACCCTACATATTATACGTTTAAATCTTATACTTGTAAATGTAAATAGGTGTTGTACGTAGTACGTTTACTTATATAGAATGAAGATTCGATAGCGAAATAAAATACATTGTAGTTGTACATCATTTTAAATATAATATAATATATAGAACGTATTGTAAAATGATACGTTCTCTAGAAATAGAAATTGTCTGAGACCGTAGGTACAATGTTGTTTGGTAATCTTCAATAGGTATTACGAGTATATTATTATAATAGGCAAACGTGATCACGTGAAAAATTTCTACCGATGTCCATTTTCTGAATTGTTGACAATAATAAATAATAATTCAGTTAAAAATATTCGTAGAGATTTGAAATTAGAACAAAAACTTATGTTTACCTTTTCTTGACGTAATACAATTTTTAGACATTTTAATTTTGCGAGTTTATACGTAATTTTTATTCGGTAGGTAAAATTGTAGGACTTGAATAGAAATGATTGAAAATTTAATAGAAAGTTCATCAAGAGTCTTAATTTGTAATCAAAAAAAAAATATAGTTTATGTAGTATTTTTTTTATTAGGGAATTTTAATATCAAATTTTGACGAAAATCATTTGAGTAAAAATTATGTGGAACAAATCTGAAAGAAAATTTTATCTCCATGGTGATTTAGGGAAGTCATTATTTAATTTTTCAAGCGGCTTTTATAATATCTGGGAAGAACCGGGAAAAAATGTTGGAAAAATGAAAATGTACGAAATTTAGATGTTAGTAAAAAAATATTACGACTTTTTTATTACGACTTTTTTTTTTCTGTCAACAGTTTTTCTATCAGCAATTTTGTTCCGATTTACAATGATAGCACTTTTTCGAAAAGGAAATCTGGGAGGTACTTTAAGAGGTAATTTTTTAATTTTTGTAAGAACTGTCCCAGCAAATATAAAAAATTGGGAAAAAAACATGGGAATAACGAGAAAATCGGTGTAATATTAAACAATTATTTTTAAAGAAAATACATAATGCATATTTAATTAGGTATTTTACCATAATATGACATATATATTGTTAACAAGCATCACTATAAACTGAATTGCGCTCAAAACCGTATTTTCGTTAGCAATGGTTTATCGTTGCTTACAGATGTATATTAAATTTCCGTCTGTATTCTACCTTCCCAAATTCCTACAACAGTGACTGCACCCACGTGCGAAGTATGTCAGTCTTTTTTTTCGCATAAATACGAAAATTTTTAAAAATATTAATAATTCGTTTATTTTATTTTTCACTACCGAACACTATAATTTTAATTTCCGCTGTTGCTTTCTACAATAATGAAATGCGATTAATATAATATCATTTAATTATGGTAACGTTGAACTTTATTCGGATACTTACACTTTGACCTATATTCCGAATAAACAAATAATATTGTTATAGTTAGGTAGTTACTCATTACCTACCTCATTAACTTTAGTAGAAGTATTAGGACCTACTAGATAAAACACACAATCATTTTTGAGAACGCACCTACTTACTTAACGGCTAACAGTAATTAATGAAAATCAAATCATGTAAAAATGTAGTTTAAATTAATTAATTTTGTTTTACGTAGTGTAAAATTTAATATTTTACCGAGTAAAAACTAGTTCTACTGGAGGTGGTACTGCCGCTGCAATTACTCCTCCTTCGTTTTTCTTAAAGTCAAGGTCAGTAGCAATATATAGTTTGCTGACCTACTGAAATAGTTGAAGAAACTCTGTCCAGTATACGCAGTTATTGCTATGTGGCTCCTCAGACTTCCTCTTCCCTTTCGTCTTTTTAGCTACCTACTCGTTTATATATTAAACAACGGTATAAATTTTGTTCGTTTCTTATTTGATTAAAAAATATTATAAAACTAAATAAAAATACTAAGCCAACCAATTGAAACAAAAGCACGTGTGACGATCATTTTTAGAAAAAGATGAAACTTCGAATGCGATTTGGAAGAAAGTGTAATATTTTCTAGAGTGAACACGAATTATTATGATACTAAAGATTGTGATAATATGTTTAGTTGTAATTTTTGCGGCAAGCGTATTGTTTTATACTGAACATTTGTACTTGAACATTTTTAAAACCCGTAAGTACATTAATATAGTATTTAATATTGTTTAATTAATTTTATATTTATTCATAGGTAATACAGTATTGCATATGATTTATATAATATTCATAATATTTTTATAATTAATTAATAATATAAAAGTAGGTATTTTTTATATACGCTTAGTTAGGTATATATAGAAAGTATATATATAAAAAATATAAAAAAAAAACTATGAGTCGTTCTATTTAAATATTTGTATAATGAAAGTATCGTATACGTTTATTTGACTTATTAAATTATACAAATATTTTAAAATCAATTGTAGTTTAAGTACTGTACTTATAGTACTTCATGACAATATTACACACTTATTCTACTTGGTGGTCCATTTATCATAAACCAGCAATTTCATCGGGGATTTTTGAATGTGAATTTGATTTCTTGCTTTTTTTTTCTTTCAATCCATATAGAATTGTTTAGGCTTTATCAAAAATGGTTTTCTGCTATAATGCCGAGTGATAAGATATGACGTCGAATAAATACTGACATATTTAATACTAATCAATAATATTTATCCTAAATTTATATTAATTTGATGCAAAACCAGCTCGATTCGTTCGTGTCATATAATATTTATATCAAGAAAAATCGAAAACAACGGAAAATAGATACAATATTAAACAAATATTGTTAAAGAAAATATATAATACCTATGCAATTATTTTACCATAATATGACATGTATATTATTGACAAAGTAACATTATTAACCAAATTCCGCTCAGAATCGTTTTTCGTAAAGCAATAGTTTATCGTTCCTTACAGATATACATTAAATTTCCCCTGTACTAACTTCCAAACTTCTCACCTACAACAGTGGTCAACACGTGCGAAATATGTCCATACTTTTACTAAACCACTATAGTCTAAAAAAAAGATACTTATAACATACTTTGCATGATGGGGGGGGGGGCACTGTTATAGGTGAGAAGTTGAGAAGGTAGAATATAAAGGGGAATTTTATGTATATTTATTCCAAACGATATAATTGCTAACGGAAAACGATTCTGAGCAGAGCTTAGTTAATATAGTATTGCCTTTTTAATAATGTATATGTCATATTATAAAGTGATATATATGAAAGGAAATCTGACTGCGGTGATACTTTAGGGAAGTTATTTTTCGATTTGCTCAGAATTTTTCTCAATAAATAGCATGAAACGGGGTAATGTATAAAATGTAGGTATTAGTTAAAAAATATTACGGCCTTCTTTTTTCCTGTGAACAAGTTTTCTATCAGCAATTTTGCTTCAATTTATAATGATAGAACTTTTTCTGAAACGAAATATGATTGGAAAGGTACTTTAGGGAAGTTATTTTTAAAATTTCTCAAGAGTTTTCCTAGAAAACGTAAAAAAACGACAATATATGTCGTATTAAAATCAGTGGCGCTGAACTCTGTCTTACAAGTCGGGAGATTGCCCGACTAAATTTTTTGGTGGTGGGTTGGTGGTTGCTGCTAGTGGTGGGAAATATACATAGTATGAGTAGTATTTGCAGAAAATTTAACTATAACAAATAACACTAAAAGTAATGTAATATATTACACTCAAAAAAGATCAATATAATACAGTATTATACAATGATATTTATTTGTGAACAACTTTTACATTAAAAATTTTACTCCGATTTTCAAGTGTAGCACTTTTTCTGAAAAAAAATCTGAATAGGGTGATACTTTAAGGAAGTCATTTTTTTAAATTTTTCAGCTGTTTTCGTAATAAATAGGAAAAAACGTCGGAAGAATGAGAAAATTTACGAAATGTATTGTATTATTTTTGTAGAAACTTAAAATTGGACAGAAAACTTATATTTGCTTTTTCTATGTGTGGTAAAATTTTCAAAAAATTGTAGCTCTTTTTGAGCTATTTGTTATATAAAAAATTTATTAAATCAAATTTTAATGACATTCGTAAATATTACGGTCTAATTTGTAAATATTACAATTGAACACTATTAATCGAACTCCGTTCAGAATAGTTTTACGTTAGCAATGGGTTATCGTTGTGTGTACAGATAATATACTTTAAATTTCCTCTTTATACCTTCCCAACTTCTTACCTACATCAGTGGCCCACCAAACGCACGAAGTATGTCCGCATCTTTTTTTTATTTTTAAAATACGATTTATAATGAATATTATTTTGTTACATTTTCAAGCATAGCTGTACAATTTCATCAATAGAGTACCTACCATAAAACAATTACGTAAAAAACTTTCATACGTAAAATGTGTATTACTATATAGCTCAAAAATATATAAATAGCTTTTAATATTTTACTATGTCTAGACAAAAAAAAAACATAAAATTTCTGTTCAAATGTTTAGTCTTTACGAATATTTGTACTTGAATAAAAAAAAAAGACGGAAATACTTCGCACAATGGGCGGGCTACTTTTGTAGTTGACATTTTGGGAAGATAGTGGGAAGATTGAATGTATATGTACGCGACGATTAACCATAGCTTACGTAAAACGATTCTGAGTGGGGTTTGGTTAATTGTGTTATTTTATGAACAATATATATATATATATATGTTATATTATGTTAAAATAATTATGTGTGCATTGTTTATTTCCTTTAATAATATTTGTTTAATATTGTACCAATTTTCACGTTTTTCCTACGTTTTTTTTTCCTGTTTTCCTATGTTCTTTCCTGAGAAAAAGGTGCTATAGTTTTCTCGTAAATTCCACACTTTTATCGCGATATTTTCGAAAAATATTTAATAAATAGGTAGGTAGTACCCAAGCATGACCGTAGGATAAAATCCCAGAGCAAAAAGTTTTGTTCTAGGAATATTTTACATTGTTATGGTGAAATGGTATGCTATTAGGCATTATATAAGTATAAGTATAAGTATATAAAGATGAAAATCACAGGGGGGCAATGGCCCCTTTTGCTCTCTCCTGTGGGCGCCTTTGGTAGTACCTAGTTTATTAGGTACCTATTTTAAATGTATTTCTTCTAAATATAATACGTATTCATTATTTATACTTTTTAATATTGATAAAATAATTATAAATTCCTTATATCCTTTCTGTTCAGTAATTTACAGATTTGTATCGTTAAAAAAGTTTATTAATTATTACCATAATAATACAATAAAGTATATGTTTAGGATGGTATTTTTATGTAAAACAATAATTTTGACAAAAAAATCAATTTTTTGAAAATTTGTTTAGGCACCTAGACCTATTATTTTGACTAAAAAAAATTCTTAGTTGGTTTAGTTTTCAAGCTTTTATGATTAAAATATAAATATATAAATATAAATAATAAGTGTATAATTTAGGTATAATAATAATATTATAGTTAACAAAACAGGTTTGAAAAAAAATGTTTAGAAGGAAAAAAAAATAGTTGTCACTGAAACAAATATAGTAAGAAATTAATCTTAAGAAAAAGAAAAACACATAAATCGCTGAAATTAGAAATCTATATATATATGACTATTTTTTTTTTTAAATTATTGGGACATCAAATACCTATAATGATTTTATTAAGGTACAATAATGCCGCAATAGTTTTATTAATTATTGTATTTTCGAAAAACTGCGTCTGAATGAATTCGTACTACGTATGTAGGTAATATAATTATTACATTTTCTTCATTTTTATACTCGTACAGTCCATTAAGGAGCTCCTCTCTATATCTGTCTCTGTCATAGATATATTCTATTGTCGTTCCTTGATTTTGGTTAATTTTAATAAGATCTGACTTCACCCAATTCAGTCTGATAGGATGTCCCCTAGGCCCCAGATTTTGAATAAGTTCAGTCTCCCAGTAAAAATATTGTTATTTATATCTTCAGATCACCACATAATATATCTAGCCTATTCTAATTTGTTGGTTTTCAGATACACATTGATATGTTATGTCAGATATATAATCTATACAAATACCATGTTTAGAGAACTACACGAAACTTTATCTTAAGTTATATAATCATAAGATTGTTCCGATAAATAGATTAGATTTTTTTATCAATACAAAAAATGCGTCCTTTGTGTCTTCCTTACCTATCTTCTAGGTATAAACAATCAAAAATATTTTTGTATGCGGCAAAGATAACTAAACACATAGCGGGCACTCTGCATGCCCGCTATGCAAAACTACAATTTTATTCCAATCTTGGTGCAACTTTTCACACATGATATACAAAACAAGAGAGAGATTGCTGTCTACTTTTATGTGGAAATATAACCCCTTAAGGGTAGCTTACAATTGATATTTTAAAGAGAAAAATATTGTTATTTTTTGTTGATTTCTGGGTATCCTTTTTGACACAAATGAAATAAAAAAAAACATTGATATTTAACTTGGTTGTTATAGACAAGGAGTATCATTTCTAAAGGATAAATTACTGGGTCGCAAAAATTATCAAGTGAATATAGGGTAATTAAGATTCAGCTATGATATACTGTATAAATTCATATGAAAGGCTGTAATATTTACGATTTTCGTTAAAATTTAACAACATTTTTTTTTCCCACAAGTACGACTTATAATTTATCAGGAGTTAAATTTGTAAGTATTTATGTTTAGTCTAACAATTTTATTAATTACCTACCGAATAGAAATCATGTAAAAAATCGCAAAATACAAATGTCTATACAGAGCTCAAAAATAGCTCAAATGTTTTTAAAATACATTACTATTTCTAAAAAAGACAAAATTTAATTTTTTTCCGAATTTCAAGGCTTTACAAATATTTTTAATTGAAATACAACAAAAAAATAAAATTAGAAATAATAAATTTTATATATTTTCCTGTTTAACGTTTTTATCCGGGTTTTCACAAATTTTTTGAAAACTGCTTGGAAAACCAAAAAATAATCTCCTTAAAGTACCTAGTATATTTAAAATTTCGTTTCAGAAAAGGTGCTATACTTCATATATGGGAGCAAGACTTCTGTTACAAAAGTTGTTTACTACAGTAAAAAAAGAAAAAAAACTGATACTGTTTGATACAGTATCATTGGGAATTGGGTACAACCACAGTTGTAGGTGAAAAATTGGGAAGGTAGGATGCATGAGGTTATTTAATTTATGCAACCATAAACCATTGCTAACAAAAAAAAATTTGAAGCGAACTTCGGTGAGACATATTTTAAAATTTTTACTATTTTCGTTAAAATTTGATCTTTAAACTCTTATGAAAAAAAAAAACGGATGCATTAAACTCAAATTAGATTTCTACACAACTAATAATATACTCTGTGTTAAATTATAAAGCATTTTTCTTAAGTCATATAATTTAAATAACAGATACATACCAAATAAAAATACATATAAAAACAGGAACATATCAAATACCTATAAATAGCCTAAAAATAGCTTGAATGTTTTGATAATTTTACCACATATATAAAAGATAAATATAAGTATTTTGTGATAACTATATAGATACAATAATTTTTAACCGAATAACAACAAAAAAAACCAAATTCTGTACACTTTACTGTATTTCCTACGTTTTTTCTCGATTTTTCGTATTCATTAGTAAAACTATACGAAAAATCAAACAGCGACTTTCTTACTTACAAACTAGTCAACATTTTCTTTGAGAAAATATGTTATTCATGAAATTTGGACAAAAATTGCTGGTAAAAAAATACAATCTTCAAAAATTTAAAATAATGAAATCGTCGCGCCGTAATTTGAAAAATCGTATTTTTCGTCTTTTATGATTTTTCCTTATTTCTACGAAAGCTGCTTTAGATATCAAAAAATGAATTTCTTTACCTATTACTAGCTATAAAACAAATATTATCGATATCTTGTCATTTTTTGATTAGTGCAATATTTCTGATAAAAAACATAAATTACAAACATTAAAAACAATGAAATCGGTAACGTCGTGTCGTGTTGCAAATATTTGCCGTTTTATATACAATTTTACCTATAATTTAAGAAAAATACAAAATACACACCACATAGTAAATCCAATAGATCCCTCTCTACGCTCCGAATCTAAAAGATACAGCTACCAATTAATATCAAATTGTAAATTATAAAATTAAAATATAAATATAATATAAATTATAAAATATTAAATTTACCAATTTAACAATTTTGCATATAAATAAGATCGTGCGATAGGCCAGTGACGTATTTAAAGAGGAAGTTACGTAGATATATTATTTCTCCCCTTGACCTAATTTTAGTATCTATTATTTTCATAATTTACCATTTTTTTTTTTTTTTTTTTTATATAAATTTATTTATTTTATTCGGAAAATCAAAAATATGTTCTTAAAAACACACTGGGATAGACATGATAATGATCGTATTAGAAATTTTTTTGTAAGCAGAATTATTACAACGTACCCACACGTTATCAATTGTGTGTCTTAAAAAGTATGTCAGCTTTACATTCGATAACTCTGTCCTTATTTTATTCACTCTGTATACTCTACATTATTTTACCTACTTACATTTAATAAGAATCGATACGGTCTGTGCGTGGGTATAGTTACTGACAGAACAAACCCAAGGAAACCGTTTCGGAACAAGTCACGTATCTCTTCATCAACGATATACTTCCATATTATTTTTCGTTGGTAGTTTGTTGAAAATAAAATTCTTGATATTTAACAACACTATATAATATATCATTTGAATAAGTAATGTTACACAGTGACAGATTTCAGAGGGTATAACGACATGAACCCCCTTTTCTTAGAAATTATTAATTATAATTCAAATTAAAAGATATATAGTGCTTATACTATTCAAAATATATTGACTAAAAACATCGAATATTTCTATAGTAAAATTTCAATTAAAAAATGAATGAATCAAATTTTTGTTGAGTTTCAATGATTTGTTTTATGATAAAAGTGTTGTAAATTTACATTAATAAATTTACCGTTTTAAATTTAACAGATTTTTAATTTAAAAAAAAAATTCCAATAGAATTAAAATTGCTTGCTTGGTTGTAAATTAATGACAAGTTATAAAACCCGTCTTCAAAATTTAAATACTTTTACAAGTGTCGTGTTTAAATAGTATAGGAAAGCTCACATCTATTCTAAAAATACTTATTCAAAATTATGAAGACAATTTCAACCTGCAAGTCAATTGTAAAACTGTATAGAGTAATATCTAAGCATTTGTATATCATGTTTCTTATAAATAGACAAATTCTTTGTTTGGCTTTCAAAAACTGAAACGAAAATTACATTATTTGATTCAAAAAGCATGTTTATCTTCAAAAGTTAATATTTTCTAAATGGAATTTTAATATTGGAATTAACTTGCTACATTTTGCCATATGAATAAATAAATGAAATTCGAATTAACAATTTCTAGAGCAGATTGCGGGTATATTTTATGTAGTTTTTGTGCATTGTCAATACCATGATCATATAAACGCGCGTAAGCTTATTATATTTGTGCGGCACCTAACTATACCATATCTGTAGTAAATAACAATTGAACTTCGTTTTCAAACAATTCGATTTGGTACTTTAAAAATTAAATTGTTGTTTTGCATACATTTTACAACAGACCACGATATCAATTATGAAAAAAAAAATGTATCTAAAATGTTATTTATTCCCATTTTGAATAAATTTCTAAAAATGTATCCTATAAATATTGAATGAAATTTTAAAATATAATATTTCAAGAGTTGTCTATATCAGTGGTTTTCAACCTGGGGGGAACGTACTTCTAGGGACATAGGCTTGCGCACAGGGCGTGCCAGGTCTGCCTGGGCACTACCTGAAAATTTTATATAAACATTTTTTTTGCTATTATATTGCGATAATATGACAACAGTAGGTACATGTTTTATATTTTGTGAAATTGTCATCGCTTTTTTTTTCCTTTAGAGGACGCCATACCGACATCTACTGTCTGTGTCTTACAAACGCGAGACATAGCAAATTTGCACTCAGTAGGACATATTTTGTGCTGTTAGTTTTAATATTAAAACAAATTAACTTATTACCAAACTTAAAGGTAAGAAGATTATATAATATGCTCTAGCGTTGATGTTTTGTCGATATTTGAATTTTTAAGCAAGATATATAATCATTTTTAAATTGTGATATTGAACATACTCATGTCTCATTTAAAAATAAAAATATTCAATAATCATCAATAGCTAATTTATTGTCTTTTTGACTTAAATTAAAAAGTGTAAATAAATTTAAGTATAGACGGTTAGCTCACGACACACGACGTTATAGGAATAAAACGACATACTGTTATTACAGATTAAGATAAAAAAGAGCTGATACTGGGATGGGAGCGGCCCCTGTTGTAGGTGAGAAGTTGGGAAAGTAGGATACATAAGGTTATTTCATTTATATCTGTAGGCAACAATAAACTATTGTTTGACGAAAGACGATTCAGAGCGTAGTTTGGTAATACATAATTTGAAGTGCTGTAATTTTTTTTTTTTGATTTTCGTTTAAATTTAATTTCAAAACTCTTATTAAAAAATAAAAAGTCGTCCGATAATTTTGGAAATTTACCACGTCTAGTTAAGTCCAATATAAATACTATTAACAAATTTCAGGTATCTACGTGTGTTTATAACCAAATTATAGCAAAAAAAACTCCTAAAAATTAAAATTTCTTAAAGCTCAAAAGTGGCTCAAAAGTTTTAGCAATAATACCGTAAGCAAGTAAAAGGTAACAAAAAATGTATCTTGTGATTTTTTGATGAAATCATTTTTTTCTAGTAGAAAACGTCGTTCGTATTTTTATAAAATAATGAAAACGTGAAATTGTAAGTTTTCCTACGTTTTTTCCTGCTTACGTGTTTTTATTTAAAAAATGGCGTCAAAAATCATAAAATGACCCTTTTAAAGTACAATCTAAACAACTTGAACTTTCAGAAAATTTGCTTTTTCCGTCTGAAGTTGTCTGAAAGTCTGATTTTGGTTTTGGGATATTTTGACGTGTCACAAAACTGCCGTTACAGCGGCCCAATTGTACTAAATTAGCCTAAAATTATGAAAACATTTCACATGCCAATAGAAATTTAGGGTGAGGCAAATGCCCCCACCTACCCCCTTCTCCACTGAAACAACTGTCTAATATTAAAATAACCAACCCGCGATGATCAGAAGCATATCGATGAGGCACTAGTGGGCTTAAATCTGTATGTTATGTAATAAAGTCTGCCTTAAAATAATATGATTTTATTAGAACTTATCGAGACCCCCTATCCCCCCTCCTGAATAAATATAGTCAATCTACATTAATGTAATAATTTAGATAAATATGTAGATAAATAGCAGTATTCATTTCGATGTATACGTACACACATAATAGAACACGTCGTATAATAATAAAATGTAATAATTTCGATTAGAAAAAATTATAGGTACTTGTATAGATGTGTATAATAAAAATGTTTTTTTTTTTTTTGTCACGCAGATGATTTCACGGATGAAAATTACGACGTAAACTCGTTTTTAGAGAGATTGGTTTACCTAGAAAGACAAGAGCACACGGCACAGATGTGCCATTTGTTTAAATCACCATCAAAGGCCGATGAAAATTATCAGCAAGCGATTAACGACAGCGTACTCATGGAACACATTCTCGTGGACAATCATCACAAACTGCTTTACTGCTATGTACCAAAGGTCAGTTAAATCGAATATATTACGAAGAGTACACAGTGAAAATATTATTTATATTTTTAAAAAAATAATTAAAAATAATTTTGACGTCATTCTAAAAAGAAGCGTCAAAGTTTTATTATTATTATTTTGTTTAATCTATAAATTCGATTTCAATAAAATAAGAAGTCAAAATACAATTTGTTTACTTTTTTTTTTTTTTTGGTCCGAATATTTTCTATTAGGTGCATCGTAATATTACATTAAGATTATGGGACCGAATTTTAAAACCGGGACAAACGGTATCCGGGTTGAAGTTTGTCGGGACTGAGGGACAATAGAAAACGATTCCAAAAAACGGATAATCCAGTTTTTAACGGGACCTTTATGGTCGCAGTACGCCTGTGGCGTGTTGAACATTTTTCTATACTTGAGTCAAAACGAAATAATTAGTACCGCCCACTCTATAAACATGGGGTTTTGTGTGTCCTATATATAATTTTTTTTTTACAGCGAAAATCTTATTTAGCTAAATTGACGACATAATATAGACTATAATATCCATATGTATAGCTGGTATATTAATAATACAATACATAAAACCGGGGGCGTCTATCTGATCAATGAACTGATTTCAATATTAATCGACATTTATCGTATTTGGTCACCGATCCGCCCACCCATTTAGGTCACGAGACAATCGCCTCAAAAAAAACCTACTTTGATACGCCACTGCAGTGCACTATATCGTTTTGTTGTATTACGGCATGTGTGCATTATTTTCTCGCAGGTTGCGTGCACCAACTGGAAACGGGTGTTCATGGTGCTGTCGGGCGGCGAGACCGCGTCTGCCGACTTGTCGCAGATTCCTGCCGACGTGGTGCACAAGCCGGGCACGCTGGACCGACTGAGTGATTACCCGGCCGCGCGGGCCGCCGAAATGCTGAGCACGTACACCAAGTTCCTGTTCGTTCGGCACCCGTTCGAGCGGCTGCTATCCGCGTACAGGAACAAACTTGAACAACGGCACGACAGCTCCCGGTACTTTCAGTCCCGGTTCGGGCGGCGCATCGTCAAGCGGTACCGGGCCAATGCCACCGAACGGGCGCTCCGGGACGGTGACGACGTGACGTTCGCCGAGTTCGCCGGGTTCGTGGCCGATACGCGGGACACAGTGTTCAACGAACACTGGGCGTCCATCGACAGACTGTGCCGGCCGTGCGCTGTCAACTACGACTTCATTGGCAAACACGAGTCCCTGTTCCAGGACTCGGACTTTCTGCTCAAGCACGTGGCCGGAGTGTCCGACGTCCGATTTCCCAAAGGCCCGGACACCAACACGTCCACGCAGCTGGTCAAGTATTTTACCCAGCTGGACCACAACACCATTCTGCGGCTATACAGTATATTCGAATGGGACTTCAAACTATTCAATTACAATTTACAAAATATACTTGGCTACGAAGTAGGCTAACTGTGCCTCGGTGACCATGTGCGTTTTAAATCGCAAAAATTCGAATGCGCGTGATTTTGGAGCAATGTTGATACATATTACCCGTATAGATATTAGATATATTCTTCGCGGTATTCTTGGAGCACAACCTATCGAAACTGATTTTTTTTTATGTATATAAATTATTATAGTCATACGAAACGTATTGTTATTGTGGGGCTGTGAATCAGATACACTAAACAAATGCCTTAAAAATATATTTAACTTCCGAAAAATAAATACATTGAAAATATGATAAAAACGCGATAATCATTACAATGAGGTACCTAAATAACTCTGTGGGTAAAATATTTTGAATTCGGTACCATTTTTTGAAATTTAAATGAAAATGATTTGTTCTTTTTTTTTTTTTATGTATTTAAAAAGTATTGAACCTCATTTTAACAATTTTTAGACTTCAGACCTCTGTGTAATTGTGTAATACGATCAACAGCAAACGAATGTTGTATACAATTTCGAAAAAAACAAAAAACAATGGAATATACCGTATAGTTTAAAAGTGAATTTATTGTATTGTAAATTATGCGTTTTATTTTGTACTACATATGTATTTACCCTGTAATTAGCTGAAAAAAATTACATTTGATACGAATTCAGAACCCTAATGATTATTATAGTATTCAGTTTAATATTACACTTTAATGAACCTCTGCCGTTTATCATAACGACCCCGGCAGTTGCACAACAATTTCAGCAACGAAACATCAGTACCTATATTATTATATGATTTATGATATTATTATGCGCCTAACCAAATATAGTGTGTTAATATATTATTATGCGTGTATAGTATATTATATCTATATTGTGTAAATAAATAGTTTTTTTATCCTATGCGATTTTTCTATACAGTGTTGATTAACACATGAACATATCATTATACCAACAAACAAAATGATACAGTTTGGTCGGAAAATGTCCGCTTAATTATTTGCCATTTTTACTGTTTATGAATATAATACACAAAGGCGTGTCGACATTTATGTCACAATCGTTTATCGTGTTCATAATATTCGAAATGGAGGCGAATATGTGGTCCGGTTCGCTACAGTTTGTTTACAGTTGAACGGTTGTTTCTGACATTTCCCTTCCTCCAGCAGTTGGCCGATAATTACCATCAACGGAAATAAATCAACGGTCGTTTATTTGCCGGGAAAACTTGGGAAAATCGAAAAAAAATGACCTCCCTAAAGTACCTAAAGTATAAGATTTCTGGTAGAAAAGTCCGTCCACAGAGTAAAAAAAAAAAAAAAAAATTAAACATCTTTGTAAAACCATAAACTTCTTCGCTCCACTCGGAATCTAAAAAACTCGTTCCGCTCCGAATCTAATATTATTGTTGTTTTGTTATACCATAATAACCAACGACAACGGAACAATTATCTAGTTTACAACGCTCGACCGTATACTGCCGCAGTTGCCGCGGTAAACGCTAAACGAAACTACCGAATGTTTTATTGAACGGTACTGTAATTCGGAATATACATTGCGTATCGTCCGTGTTTGTATGCGATCGTATAACATAAAAGTTTATCACTGCGAAACCGCGAAAAGGTATACGCGCCGGGAGTTATTTTTACCGCGCAGACATGGTGGACAACACGGCGGCGGCGTGGGCCGAGATCGAGGCCATCAGCGACAACGTCCGACGGGCGCTCGAGTGTCCGATCTGCTTGCAACTGGCCCCGAACATGACGTGCCCGTGTCCGAACGGGCACCCCATGTGCCACACGTGCGCCGACATGATGTCGAACCAGAACGTGATGCAAAAGTGCCCGATGTGCCGGTCGCCAATATTCGGAAACGACGGCACGCTGGCGTTCGTGACTGCCATTAAATTCGACCAGATCAAGGCCTCGCTGAGAATGGCGTGCGCGCATCGCCGGTACGGGTGCAACGAGCTGACCGCCATCCCGGACATGATCGATCACGAGCAATTCTGCCGTTACAAGCCCACCGTATATTGCAAAGTATCCGGATGTCAATGGCTCGGCGTCCACGACCAGTTGTTCGGTCATGTGCTCGACGTTCACCCCGCCGTCGTCATCGACACAGCGGTACAGCCATTATATTCGCGATACCGTTAAAATCACATTTTAATACAGAAATCGCTGCGAAAAAAAGCTGGCCTAGGATAAATGGGGACGGACGCAGCCACTGTTGTAGGTAGGAAGTCCAGAAGATAGGATGTAGACGGGAATTTAATGTATATCTATCTAATGTAAGCAACGGTTAACCATTGCTAACGAAAAACCGATTCTAAGCGGTATTCGGTTGATAGTGTGGCTTCGTCAACAATATATATATATAAGTATGTGTGTCATATTTTGGTAAAATAATTACATGTGCATAAAACATTTTCTTTAATAATATTTATTTAATATCGTACCTATTTTTCCGGTTTTCCCTCATTTTGAGCTACCTATTTGTTAGAATTTGACAATTTCAAATTGTTTTGGTTTTTATTTGGTTTTATGTAGATAAAATTGTTTGATAAAATATAAATGCTCGAACATTTAAAACAAGACTCATTATACGATGTACTTACGGAACTGATAAAAAAAAAAAAAGAATTGAGCTTTGAACGTTGTAGTTTTTTTTGTTATAAGCTTTTTAAAATCAAACTTTGGCGAAAATCGTAAAAATTATGATTTGAAATGTAAAAAAAAAAAAAAAAACGTATTTAACCGAACTTGAAATATTAAAAATCAAATATTATGAGCCACTATAATTTAGAGACATAAAGTAGATACCTACATTCCTTGTTCAGTGTTCTATAACATATTATTGCGTTAACACAGCGTTTATCAAAGAATATTTTGAGTAAATAAATTTGATTTCGATTTTCTCCAATCATTATAAAATCGTGTTTAATCTTACCCCGCTTAATATTTTAAATGAGAAAAATTTGTTTTGGATGGATGAATAGGTGTAACCCCTTTACGCCGAAACTACCGAACGAATCGAGCTGAAATTTTGCATGGATATCTAGTTCCAGACCAAGAATAACACACTGTAGACTAATTTTCCCGTGTATTTGACCCCCCTAAAATAGGGTCTGATACAGGTATTTTTGAAACGGAAATAAAATTATTATTGTCGACTTATGGATTACTTGGCCGACACCGATAAAAAAAAAAAATCAATTGAGAAGCTAAGATGCGCCTTTTAAAAACAATTAAATAATTTACCAACAACGGTTAACTGTGTTAGGTACGGGGTAGACATGGGGAGACGGATAAAACTGTACAGGACAGTTATTCACGAACAAAAGAAAATGCATTTTTAAAATGTATAGGCAACGATGGTTAACTGCAGTGATTGAGACGGGAATGGGAGCGCGGAATCACGGGGAAACATTTGTTTTCATTCAAAACTGACACGGGTGGCACAGCTAGTTTACAATATCTATAAACCTTCACCCTTATATCTTTCCGTTTTAGATTCTGAATGGAGTGAAGAAGCTAATGGTTTTAAAAAGATGTTTTTTTTATTTTCTATTTTTTTTATCTGTGTACAACTTTTTTACCAGCAACTTTGCTCCGATTTACAATAATAGCACTTTTTCTAAAAATAAATCTAACTGGGGAGGCACTGTAAACAAGTCGTTATTTAATTTTCCCACTAGTTTTCCCGATAAATGAGACAAATCACGAAGAAACACGGGAAAACCGAAGGAAAAACTAAGAATTATGTATAATATTGTTAACAAATACTGTTAAAGAAAATGTATAATTCCTATGTAATTATTTTACTATATTATGATATATGTATATTGTTGACAAAGCAACCACACTATCAACTAAACTCTGCTCAGAATCGTTTTTTTCGTTAGCGATGGTTTGTGGTTGCTTACAGATATATATTAAATTCCCGTCTGTATCCTACCTTCTCAACTTTTCACCTACACCAACGGCTGCATCCACGTGCGAAGTTGCCCGGCCTGTCGTCTTCTGTTTTACGTACACGGTACTATGTTACGGTTAGATTAGGTACTATGGTACTACGGTACGGTGTTATGTTTTATTGGGAAATCTCCATCATTACTATTATTGTGTTCATCGATGCGGTATGTATAACGCGTGACAATTCGGCACGGGGCCCGCTTTTGAATTCATTTGAAAGCGAATTATTCGGACATTTCATACTGCCGAGTCGATTAATAATGATATGGTTCGAACTACATTTCTTCGACAATCGGTTTAATCGCTTCGGTGTCGTCGTTTATTATAGTGTACCAGTCTGATCGTGGAAGACGTAAACAACATCGCGCAAAACCGTCGCCGGACGTACCTGGTCCGCGCGCCGCACGGTGTGTTTTGGGTGTTGCTGTCCAGGGCGTCGCGAAACCGAATACACACGGCGGTGGCCGTGGTGATCAGAAACAAGCTGCCGACAGAGGCAAACTGCGGCCAGCCCCTGGATATCAGGTACCGGATCATGTGGGTCGACGCCAACGGCTATACACGAGGGCGAAACCGGCTCCAGACCGTGAACCGCTGGGTCACGGGGCCGCAATATCGTGACAGTAACGGCGTCGTCAAGTTAGATATACACTCGATAGTCCGGTCCCAGTCGGGACGCATCAAGATCGGCTGGTTCGCGAGTCCATCCGTCTAGCGGTCGGTGTATACTGTGATACCGATCGCTAGTACCGGTGTCAGACCAAGTACTTAGGTCTACCCGTCTTATTCTTTAGACTACGAATAATTTTTTTAAACCAAACAATTTGTTTTTCCATGTGTTTTATATTATGTTTTATTGGACTACGTGTACAATTGATGTATGTCTTTTATTTTACGTAATATATTTTTAATATTTTTTTTAGATTCGGAACGTGGCGATTGTATTTTATTATAATTATAATTAATTTATTATTAAATTTCAATACACCGGTCTGTGAACAACTTTTCTACCAGGATCTCGTTCCAAAGTACTAATATGTATTAATTTTTCCGAAAGGAATTTTTTTTCTAATTGACGCATTGGCGAGAGGTCTGTTTTTGATTATCTAATGGGCTTTAAAAAATAGCTACGACGCGCCGTGGTCTTCGCTATTTTTAATTTTTGCAAATTATGTTTTCTACCAGAAATATTACTCCGATCGGAAATGACAAAGTATCGAATTTGTTCCTATTATTAATATTCAACCACAGAGACAGAAATTCATTTACTGATATCCGAAGTAGCGTTTTCATAATAATTGGGAAAAACCAAAAAAGACGAAAAATATGATTATTTCAAATTACGACTGCACATTTCATTATTTTCAAAATTGTATTTTTCTTCTGAAAGAAATAATTTTTTTTTTTAGTTTGTGAGTATGAAAATCGATTGATTTTCTATCATAATGTGGTTTTCCTAATAGTTAGGAAAACTGGGAAAAAAACGAAGAAAATATGACGAATGTACGGAAATTAGTTATTTTATTATCATTCGGTATGGTTATCATTATTATAGAAATCTGTAGTTTTCATAAAATATTTATATTTATCTCTTATAGCTGTGGTAAAATTATCAAAACACTTTAGCTACTTTTAGGCTGTAAAACACCGATTATAATAGGTATTTTATATTTTCAGTTTTTATATGTATTTTTATTTGGTTGGCATCTATTATTAAAATTATATGAATTAAGAGAAACGTTTGAAAACTAAACACAATGTACATTATAGATCGTACTTAATGGTCTAAAAAACAAATTTGAGTGTTTAATGCATTAGGTTTTTTTTCATTTTTTTTTTTTAAACGTTTTAAAATCAAATTTTGATAAAAACCGTTCAAAATACGGCATTTCCAATTATATCTTACCAAACTTCAATCTGAATCGTTTTCGTTAGCAACGGTTTATCTTACAGGTATACATTAAAGAACTTTATGTATCCTACCTACCCAACTTCCCACCTACAACCGTGGCTACACCCGTCTCAAATATCATGTATGCTAGGGTGGAGAAGGCCACTATCTCTACCTCTCATTAGGGTTTTGTTCGTAAATAGTGTAATTTTTATTTTTGATAAGTCATATTATTGTATTTGTCTACATTACGATTAATTTACTGGGAGATATCAATTATTACAAAACATGAATAGCGCACGATAGCGATTGAACGGGAAAATACGATTTATAAAATCGTAACGCTAATTTTGCATTCCATAATGTTTTTAAGACGTTGAAATGTAATTTAAGTATTGTTAAACAATGAATGGTTTAGTTTTGAATTATTTTAAATAAACGTATAGAATATAGATAGATGAAAATAAATAGGGAAAAATTCTTAGGATGGTCATAAGTTGCGACTCAACCTTATATTGTGTATTTTGCTTAAAATAAAATTATATTATATAAAATAGTTTCTGCCATCCTGAACTAGCTCTTAGTACGTGTCCTATATCCTGGCAGATCCTGTATTTGGTGTCCTGTATCTCATATATGTTAATATATGTATATAATTAATAACAATGACTAACGTGGCAAGGTGGGGCTATTTTTTTTTTTTTTTAGCAAATATCCGTTGCGTATTCTGTTCACTCGCGTAGATATTATATACCAAACGTTCCCGTTTATCCTTGGCCGTTTTCCAGTTATCCCGTGTCCCACCAGCGGCGAGAGTGTTTCCCACAAAACATTTGATGTCTACTAATCTACTAATCCAATCGTTCACCGATGATTTCCTATTGCGGACACACACGGCGATCTGACTCCCTTACTGGGTGTTGTCCATCACTGTCCAGCGTGGATTTTACTGTGTGTCCGTATCGTTTGGACACTGCAGAAAACCTCCTTAAAACAAAAACGCCCTGCTGCAGAGGCGACAAGCCGAATTAAATTATATTCTATACGTTTTCATTATACAATATAGGTAGGTACCATCGTAATATGATCGTGTAATGCCAAGTATGTCGTGTAATAAATAAATGCGATTCCGGGTGTACTGTACAATACTATCACTATAGGTATTCGTTTAGGTTTTGTTTCGACTCGCACATTTTAAATGGTTTACGCTACCTATGATTGTACGGTATTGTGCGCTTTATAAAGGGTGACACCCGTATAACACATTATTATACATTACAGTATATAATGTTATGCGTGTATGGCGCATGTTAGAACCGAACTTTGGGAACCCGTCGATGACGTCAGAACGGAAAAAATCGATAGGCTCTCTACGCTATATAATGTTAACAGCTGCAACTGACAAACTAAACGCGTGTGGGCTGCAGCGTTTTCAGTATTATTTTACCTACATACACACGACTGCAGTTCGATAGTGAACAAGCCAACCGTGAATATAATATACTTTCATCGGTATTTTATAAAACGTAATTATTTATTTATTATTACTTGTCTCTTTTGATCGGCTTTAAAAAAAAAAAAAAAAAAATTACATATAATTTTTTTCTTCAAATTACTCCAAATTATAATTTAATTATTTTATATTAAAAAAAAAAAAAAAAAAAATCCTTACAACTTATTACCTCTGCCTACATTATTACATTAATTTATTCCGTTAATAATTCGCTGTGAAGAACAAAAATAACATTATTTCTCAGATTTTGCGTCTCGGGTACATATTTTTTTTAACGATGGACGTAGACGCAAACGATGACAACATAATCTGCAATGACTATTGCACCGATCAAACAGATATTGTGGACGAAGATCTACACGATCACGCGCTTTATTCATTTTGCGAGAACAGTCACAAAAACTGGAAGTAAGTATTATACGTATGCCTTTAGAATATTGTTTATATAGTTATTATATTATTATCGAATTATATATGAAATATATATATATATATATATATATGTAAATACAAAAAATATTTCAACTTTTTAATTAATTTCCATTTTAAATATAATATATTGTATGCACTTATGCGATTGAAGTATATTAAACCGTAAACCGCATTTTACAATAAAATGTAGCTATATTATAGCTATATTATAACTATATGTACTGATATTATACTCAGAATACTTTACTGACAGACCGTGTTATCAATGTGACGAACATTCATATTCTCAATTCTACGCTCGTATAATATAGGTAAAAAAATCCAGGAATAAACTCTGTATTTTTTACGTTTTATTTACGTCGAATAATAATTATTCTGGTCAAATTCATGGCGTTATAACCGTATTATAATATTATCTAAAAACGTGTCAACCACGCACGTCGGTATATTATAACATATGAATATTGTTATTGTATCTACGAAACTCGGTACAATATCTTTTTTATCGACCGTTAATTGTCTGCAATCTATATGTATAATAATATTGTTGTACAATCTAAACTCTTCAAAAATAATATCTACTGTTTTAAACCGCAAAGGTCTCGAAAGACTTTTTATTAACAATATTGTATGGTTTTCTTTTTGTTCCTAAACCTTCCTATTTATTATTGCATTACGAGTTTAAGAGTTTTACATTTATGAAATAGTTTTAATGAAAAATGTACGAATATTTGCTTTGCAAACAGTATTTAAAAAAAAAACCCATCGCATAACGTTAATATTTTGTATCAAAGAAACGAAACAAAGTTCAGAATTTATCATAATATTGTTGTTATTATTATTTGTATTTTAAATTGATATTGACAATAATAATACAAATTAAAAATTCAAGAGCAAAAACAATAAACAATAATATTTAATATGAATTATTAACTAAACAAACGTTCGTCGTATCGATTTATGAAATCAAACAAAACATATTAAACTAGGTAGGTAGGTAATTATAGGTAAGTATAGCTAATTAAAAATTGAATTATTTTTAAAATATACTTTATAATAATGATAACATTTTTTTTTAAAATATATTTCGTTGATTTATGATTGTGGAAAACTCAAAACACGGTTAAACAGATTATGATACATGGGAGTTAATATCAATATCATTCGTTAATGATACGAGTATAATATTACACAGAACAAGAGCGTACTAAATTAAATAACGATCAATTAATTGAAACAGTGGTATGCGTTATTCAAATAAAATGCCAAATCGTCTTTTGTAGTGTTATAGTTTCGTGTTTATAATGTTTTTATACGTTGTATAAAATGTGTTAGGTGAGATTAAGATGCAGGCCACAAGGGCAGCGTATTATTATTTTGCGCTTAAACACGATCGCTATTTTATTCGAAAAAAAAAATACTGCATATCATCCGCTGCATTATTATCCTATATTTTATAAATGTATATGCGATATAATTACATTTGATAGACATTTCGATTAGAGCTCAAAATATATTTCACAATCATTTTAACGATTTTTTGTAGTAGGTATTTCTTCTCGTCGTAAGTACTGTCTGAAATCAAATACGTCTCCGGTTAATAGTAAAAAAATAAAATGAACACAACAATTGTATAGTTAAATAATTTTCAATATTTGAATAATTTTTTATTAACGTGTTCATAATAATAATAAAACAAATCTATCTGAAAGAGATCTTTATTTATTTTAATATAATATAGTATGTATTTCTTTTTTGAATTCTTAACTAAATAATTTATTATACTAAAATATATAAATGCTTTCATTTATTTTGTTACCTACTGTAATCTGAAACATCAAAAATTATAACGTTTAATATTTGCTAATTTGACACTCGTTGGTAATATCTAAGTATCGACGTTTCAACATTAGGTAAGTACCTACTTATACTTGTACTTATACTTACTCAGCGGTACATACTGTAGCTGTTAGTTTCTTAATCGCACTCATAAAGAATTATATATTATTTACTTTTCTATTATTAAATATGTATAGGATTAATTGACAGTTTACTAGTGATTTTACATTGTCGGAAGATTTTAATATATCTTCATTCATAAGTTCTAACACTTAACAATATTTCCTTGAACAATAATCATATTGAAATTTAAACCAATTCAATAAAATTAAAAATTAAAGTATGAAACTCTCAACTATATATTATAATAAAATTTAAATAATTATTCATTACATTAGCGAAGATGAACATTCTATTGTACCAGTAGAGTCTACTGTCTATTAAGTAGACAGTCTTCACCCTCCACTGAATATATAATTTATGCATATCACAAATTGAATTCTGTGGAATATAATGAAATATCTTGCAATATTGGAGGAAAGGAAATTATTTATCTATTTAAAAGTTTTAGATTCTATTCATTTCTTTAAAAAATTTAAAAATAATACTTAAGAAAAAAATATAAAACATTTTCATTCCAAATTTGAGTAATATAAAATAAGTTTATTTTTTCTTTTCATAAGTTTACATCAAATTATCCAAACTTATTTAGTAACAAACTTAAAAAAAGAGCTGATATTGGGGACGGGTGCGCGTACTTCGAGACAAATACGTTTAAATGATTTAGCATTACTGAAATATATTCATCGTGATATCAATGATTTGCTAAAACTTGCTAAAACATCAAAACGAAGAATAAATATTTCAACTTTTATATAATTAGCGCTGTAAAATAGTAATAGAATATTTAATATATGATTATAGTACACACAATATTCAAAACAATTTCATTTGTTACATGTTTTGACCTATACACATTTCGACGTATTTACCTTAAAAACAATGTGTTATAACTTACTAATAATATTATAGTCGAGAACAAATGACACTTACTCTGAGAGGTCAGTTTGGCCTTTTGTAAATAATAAAAAATGTCAATAGATAATGTCGAGTTCTATAATTTATTGCAAACTAAAGTATAATCGTATAATAAAACAATACATTTTACGCGGATGAAATAAAATATAAAATATGGATAAACTTCTAACGGCACTTTAAAATACAATTAAATTCAAGCACCATTAAATTATAATGTAATATTCTCGATAAATGTATAGAAAGGTCTACCTACCTACCTACCTACTCATACATAGTATAAAGATGAATGGAAAACGCTGACATTAATAAAAAAATCAATCAATAAAAGAAATCGCCGATGTACCTACCCGTTGAAAAGATTTATGTCATTATAGTTTCTGAGTATTTTTTTTTTTTTTTTACGATTTTCATCATAAAATATATTTCACGTGTCATAATTCTTTAACGTTTATAATTCGATTTATGCACGGTAGACGTCAATTGTTACACATTTTAGGTGTCAAATAATATAAAGTGTTCCCTATAATAATATATTTCATAATGATAAAGTTAAAATTAGATTTAGAGTAAAATTTTTTGTTTAGTCAATTTGTAATATTTTTACCAAACTCGAGTAACAATGATAATTGTTTAAGTGTTTGTAAATGTTAAATGTGTAATTTATTTTTTTTAGATTAAAATAATGAGTTTTATTTTTAAAATGTGTTATACTTTAAAAGTTTAAACAGTGAAAAGCAATTTCTGTTTTCATACGTAATACATATAAACCAATAAACTGGAGTAAAATAAACATATTTTCATATTCCAATAGTTAAATTTCTGTTTTGAAAATGATTCGGCTCGTATTCTTCTTTTCTGTGGTTCCTTAGAAAAAATTTAAAATCGAAAAATGTTTTTTCGCGAGTAATGAGAAACTAATAATGTAGGTACTTTAAATAAATAAATAAATAAAATAAAAACCAAACTAATATTTTTTACAAAACAGACAAGAAATCAAAGAATTTAAATATCTTTTTTAAATTAAAATTAGTAGTTGGTAAATTTTACTCTAGCCTTTTGGTCTAGAACAGTGTTTATGTTTCCCAACAGGGGGGGGATTCCTTAAATGGGAGGAATTTAAATACTGCGTAGGGGATAATATAGTCAGGGGCATGCCCAGGGTGTGGTTTTGGGGGTTCAAACCACCCTAAAATTGATTTTCTTAATGTTTTAATAAAATAATAAACATGTGTGATGATACATTTTATTCAAATATAAAAAAAAAAATGCTTGGTAATCTTAATTACACTTTCAGTATCAACTATGAAAGCAGAATGACCTTTTTAAAATGTACGTAGCATAAAACATATTTGAGATTAACTACCGGTGAAAACCTACTCACATGAGTAGCTATTCATAATGACATACTAGTAAACCAGATAAAGTAGTTTCAAAATTTAAGTGGTCATTAAAAGGTTAAAAATAACTTTCACATTTTACAAAATTGGAGAAATTTGGCAAACTGCTTCCAACCCATTCAATGCATTTAATAATTTAAAAATTATACAAAGCAATTTACAAGAGCTAATTTTTCTTTATATTTATATTATAATCTATAATCTAACCCAGTGGAGACCAACCTTTCTTAACAAACGGCTATAAAAAAATTAGTAATTCTTGGCGAACAACGACCATGACGAGAACTTTTGCTTTAAAGTAGATAGAATATTTTATTTTATTGTTAGTACACCTTAATAATATAGGTACCATTGATATATTTAACTATTATTTATTATGTTTATTGATTGTTATAAATGATAAAAAAATAAAAACATAATATTTTAATAAAAGTTTACATTTTTGAAATTTGAAGTTATTTATTTTTCAATTTTTATTTATACTTTAATGTGCCGATTGATAAACGATCGCTGGCTGGATTTGGCCCGTGGGCCCGTTAGTAGTTGGTCACCACTGACCTAAACTAAATTAATTAACTTGTAGCAATATTGATTAAATGTATTAAACATTTTAGAAAAATATTTCACATACATAATAAGAAAAATAATTTTAATAATATTTTAAATGTTCAAACCGATTTTAAAAATAATATCCTATATCAATAAATTTTAGATAATAAATAATAACCAAATAATTTATATTTCCTAACATATCTGTGTTTAACAATAGCTCATTTTAAATGACCTCTCCTATTAAAATAAATTATTTCTATGTAAAACGATCAATTTGTGTAATTTTTCGCTATGTATTCCTTTATTTGTTTTTTCATATTCAGTTGCGTTTTACTTTTTGACTTTGTGATTTTATCTGACGATGAATTTTTAATTCGAAACCGGTCGTATAGTATATATTTCAAAATACTTCAGACGGCGTATTTATTTATTTAATTATTTATTTATTTATTTATTTATATATTTATTTACGAGCATTAACCATTTAATAATTTTGTTTTTACTTTATTATTTTATTATTAAAAATTTATTTTTATAGCGAAAACAATAAAGTTGGATACTTAGAAGAACAATACGAAATTCTTCATTCGTCCGTTATAGCTTTGACGTCACATTTTTCACAGGTACCTCATATATAGCAAGTTCAAGCAAAATATTGTATTGTTTATCGTATTGCACTCATCTGATTCTTTAAATAGCACAGCCAATTCTTATGATTGACATCTATTCATAGGTTTGATACCTATCTAATTCTTTTTTAATATTATATACTTGTACTATCATTTCTAATTTAATAATTATTTAGAATAACAAAAAAAAAAAAATTCTTAGTTATCATAGATATATAAAAATGTGTTTTTTTTTTGTTTTGTTTTGAATTTATACAGGTTCAATTGAGAATCCATCAAATTATCGAGTCACCGGACGAAGAGAAGAAACATTTATTAAAAAATTTAGAGGAATTCGCATTTAAAGGCATTCCGAATGTTTACACCAATTGCTCTTTGAACCATTTACTTGTAATTGCCTTCGCTAAATTGTTACTGTTAAGAGTTCGTTAACATAAAGAAAATATACAGGAGTTTTTCTTTTTTTAGAACGATGACGATCAAATAGTAGAAAAAAAACATCAAGTTCAAATAGAAGTAATCAAAGAAATGAAAAAACAATTGGAAGATTTAGAGAGTCATATATATAATAATAAAGATGAATTCGATCTCCCAGAAAGTTTCGTTGACGTTTTTCGCGAAAAACAAAATAACATAATTAGTAAGCACAAATATATATTTATATTAAATGCATTATTCAAAGTTAATACGATAGTTTTGATTAACAAAATTATATTTTTTAAATTTTTTTTCTTATAGACCAAGTAGAAAAAAAATTAAATCTTAGCATCAAAAATTCTAAAAACATGTCAGTCGAAGAACTCAAAGAAGAAGTAGACAACGCAATTCAAAAGGTAATATTATTTATTTTAAAAATAATGCAACCATTCATTAGATTAAAAAAAAGAAATTCAAATCATCTGATTTGTTAGGAGGTACTCGGTAAGAGCAAAATTAATGATCGAAAATTATTTTAATTATTTTATAATAAACTTAAATGTTCATTATTATTTTGTTGTAGTTTATAAATATGTAAATAATGCATTTTCGATAAAGGTCGTTTGTAGGTAATTTACATAGTCCTATTAAATATTATTAATTATACCATTATAATACTAATAAACATAATCATGCTACTTTTAATATTATCATATAATTTAATAGGTACTCATCAAATTTTTTTTCTATAGCATTAATAATGTTTTAAAATAAATTTAAAACACTAGCTGGTTCACGTTAAGTTACCAACATACTATGCATATATTATGGTAGACAACATAATGTTAATTTATTAGTTACATTTATCTGTACCTAGTTTTAAGTTGTTAGTTTTATTCGTACAAATCGTTGTCAAAAAAAAAAAACACGCATAAAAGTATATTAATTTAATAAAACAAATTCCCAAACTTAATTCGGTTGATGTGGATTTTTTTTCAGTCTTACAGGGACATAGTATACATTAATCATTATTTTTCTGTAACTTTCGAAACGATTTTACATACCACTGCCGCGCTGCCTCCATCAATCCCTATTTTTATTAACTGTGTAATAGATAAGTGATAAATTATTATTAGTATTACCACCTCTGACTTTGATTTATACTGGATAATTTTCTAACTTTCAATTGTTTATTTTTTATTATTGAAATCCACTGCAGTGGCGATAGGTTGAATTGTAATTTATAATTTTTTAAACACTTAGAGCAAGAACTGGTATAAAAGTTGTTCACAGATAAAAAATAAAACATTGTTAAACCAATAAATTCTTCGTCTGCTTAAAATCAAAAATGTTAAATTTCCTAAAATTTATTGGAAATTAAATATAATATTAGTTATACTATTCAATAGATTATACTTACCTACATTTGTTGTCATTATAATTTATGGGTAAATTATTTCGTTGATAAATTCGATTTGTGGGTCTTGTAATCTTTTCGTAAACCGGTTTTTTGATATTTCTATTATATTTTAATAATCAATTCGTTTTCATTCGCTTTTCATTTTTGAATCATAACAATCATTTAGATTTTTCTTATATATTACAACTAATGAACTACCTATATAGAATAGAAAGAATTGCAGTATAAACGTATAGTATAACATTATCGCGAACATAATAATATTTTCACACATTATGTGTGAAAATCGCAGAATTGTGTAACTTTCTTGGCTATGGTTCTTCTCAGGAAACAAAAAAAAAAAATCTAAAATTACATGTTTGTCTATTTCAATGTTAACTTCCAAATATACTAATTACCTACTTATAAATTACAACCAATGAAATACTCATACACCATAAAGATTATTTATTTATTTATTAAATAGTTTAACACAAGACACAATAATTAAAGTTTATATATTTACACGCAAAAGGCAAACGATACAGATTTTCATGAAGTTAACATAAGCATTTTCAATTTTGAAATTGAACCATGGTGAAAATCGTAATTCTTTTAATCATTACACGACATTACACGACAAGTGTCATATTGGACTATTTTTAACGTAATTTTTAAAAGTTGAAACATGAAATCACAAATTATTCCTGGAGTTAAATAAAGGAACATAAAACCCGATTTCAGATAGAAATGCAGGCCATTTCATGTTACCATATACCCAATAGTTTATATACAAAAGGTAAATCAAAATACTTATAACGTTTAGCTAAGGAAACTAATTCAAAATGGTTAGCAATATTTATGCTCGGCGTATTTCTAAAATCCGCTCAAACATATGAATAAAGCGTCTTTGCAGTTTTTCAAGATTTTCAACATGACCGTACTGGGAGGGGTCCAACACTACAGAACTAAATTTCAGAATCGATCTTATACCAATGAGTAAGATTATTATGGTAACACATATTTTAAAATACGATCAATGATACGGAGGAGGATATAGTTCTTGTTCCCTTTGGTCATGCCACCGCATGATTATCATTTTTATTATGGAATAATTTCAATTTGCGTATCTATACCTATAATACATAAATCAATATAATTATAATTAACGTTAAATGTGATATATTACCATAAAGTATACTCATAAAAATCTAACAACAACCCTTGTCCTAATAATAATATTATATACTCTAGTGCTATGATAATTTATGGCCGATAAAATCAAATGGCTAAGTTAAGTAAAGTAGTATATAGTATAAATCGTGAATTTTGTATCGTAGTTTATCAACCTATCGAATTACATGAATTATACAAATTTATGGGGGGGAGGCGTTATCTTATATAAAATATTACTTTTCATGGTTCACGTATTATATAGGTAATTATATATGTATACTATATAAGAGTACTGAAAATCGATAAACCGAAACCTCTTATCAGTACCTACGCATTTGACATTGGATACGAACGGATTATGAGATAATTGGATCGCAAATAAAACGATATTATAATAATACGCATCGTCTTTGCACCCCGACAATAAATTACGTAAAATTATTATTTAGTCCCAAGGCTATAGATGGAAATAGATATTCTGAGGAAGTTCAACATTGTTTTCCTGATCAATTCTATTGACGTTCTTATTGGCGTCACGCTAAAAATTATATCATTTATTTTTCAAATAATGCAAAGGTCTCCAGAAATTTCTCAGATGTATACAAGCCGGTTTACCTGTAGAATATTATAGGTAGTACCCATAATAAATCGATGGTGTTTTGTTAAAAGGGCGTCGAGAAAATTTTACTTTTTTTCAGAAAGCAAAAAAAAAAAACAGCAAAAACAGCTTATAACGATGTTTATCATGGAAAACAATAAAGTTACTCCTTATAATCAACCTTAGACACGAATTACACACACATTGAATGTGGTATACGCCCTTTTAACAAATCAGTGTTGATTTAATTATATTTTAAAAGGATGCCCTGATATATTTTAGTCTACATTAACAATATAATTGTTTATATTTAAATACGTCCTTTTACCAGTTTATGCTCCTAATTTTTTTGATTTTTTTGGTACCAAAAATGTATTTTTTGATTTTTAGTGGTGTACATTCTTTTAACAAAACACCATCGAAATGTGTTTAAATGTAAATTTAATCTATTTATAGAGTTTTAAATATATGTTGCAATTTGAAAATTAAACGTGGGTACTTTTAATAATAATTTTACTAATGAAAATAAGGGTGAAAAAAAAAACAGAAATAACAGAAAGACTGACGCACTTTACACGATGGGTAAGTCACTGTTCTAGGTCAGTAATTGGAAGGTAAGATATAGAGGGGATTTAATGTATATCTGTACGCAACGATTAATCATTGCTAACAAAAAACGATTCTGAGCGGAGGTTGGTTAGGTTATACATGTATGTTTTGAACAGCCGTAATATTTACGATTTTCGTCAAAATTTAAAATTAATATTCTTATAAAAAAAAATCATACTTCATATCGTTAATTTTGTTTTTTCTACTAAGTACTACTTATAATGAATCTCCTGTTAAATTTTCAAGCATTTCTGTTTGGCCTTGAAAATTTTATCCACAGAATAACTACCTACTAAATGAAAATTACGTAAAAACTTCACATAATTAAAATATCTATATACGAGTATAACTCTAAAATGACTAAAATGTTTACAATTTTACCACATCTAGAAAGGTAGATACAATTTCTTTGTTGGAATTTCAAGACTCCACTAATATTTTTAATTGAGTATCAGCAAAAAACAAAATTAAAATAATAGGTATATTTAGCAAATTTCTCGTTTTTTCTACGTTTTCTTTTAGTTTTTCCCATTTATTATGAAAACCCCTGGAAAAATCAAAAAATTACCGTCCTATATAGTAACACTTCGGTCAGATTTTCTTTCAGAAAAAGTGCTACACTTGAAAATTGAAATAGAAAATGCTATAAGAGTTATTCACAGATAAATAATAAAAATTAATAAACTTATTATAAAACCAATACATTCCTCACTCCGCTTAGAATTTAAAAATAATAATAAATCGATCATTCTGTATGTCTTTAGTTATAAATGTATATTATATTGAATTTCTAAATTTCGCGATTATTTTATCAGTTATATAATCTGGAAATACACGGTAGCATTTTTCGGCGTTTTTAAACGTAATTACTATTACGTATATTAAGTTAAATAATGTGGGAAAAAAATACAAATATAGTTTTTATATTGGACGATAATATAATAACAGTTCAAACGATTTTAAAATCACATCACCATAATTTTCAAGGTTTAAAGATATTTAATTATCACATTGATAATGTATAAAATAACAATATTAAATTTATATTGTAGACATAATAGATAAAAATTTGAGAAACATGAATAAACGTCATTTCTATGGTTAAAAATTAGTAAATGAAAAATTAGTATGATAAATGTGAATATTTGTATTAATGACGGAGGTAAGTAAATAAAGAATAGATACTCACCTAAATTAATTGTAATTCTTATTCTCGACATTAAAAAAGAATATTGCTGAACTGGTCCTATTTAAATAACCAATGCCTTTAAAATAATTATTTGTTAACTTTAATTGATTTTTTTTTGTTTGTCAACTAATATTATCCGATTGTGTTTAGCTAGTGAATCCGATGAAAGCCACGGAACACTTGGTCGATCAATTAAAAACCCAAATTGCCGATCTCGAAAGGTTTATACATTATTTACAAAGTGAGTTGAATCGATTAAAAAAATGTACATATTCATAAAATAAAATTATATAACATAATATAATAGTGTGTCAATAGAATGTCGTTGATATTAATTTGTATTATATTACGTTATATCTGTTTTTTTTTTTATTTTAACTGTAACTTTATGACACCGGAAATCACAATTTCCGTTATACATCAATGCGTTAGTAAATATTATTATATATTTGATTTTGACAAAGAAAATTATTTATAGATATCCATCCTGAAAAAAAAACCGACATACTTCTCATGATGGGTGGGCCATTGTTGTGGGTGAAAAGTTGGTAAAGTAGGATATGGAGGGGAATTTAATTTACACGCAACGATTAATATTTACTAACGATAAATGATTCTGAAAGTAGTTCGGTTATAGATGTTTGAAAGACTGTACTATTTACGGTTTTCAAATAATATATTTCGTACATTTTTCCATTTTTTTCACATTTATTGCGAAAACTCCAGGATAAATTAAAAAATTACGTCCCTAAAGTACCACTCCAGGAAAATTCCATTTCAGAAAAGATGTTATACTTGATATTTCAGAGTAAGACTTCTGGTAGAATTGTTGTACACAATATAAACAAATATAAAAAAGACTGAAATATTCGCTTGTGGTCGGGCCACTGTTATAGGTGAGAAATTGGGAGAGTATAGTAGAAAAGAAATTTAATGTATATCTGTAAGCAACGATAAACCATTGCTAACAAAAAAACAATTCTGAGCGGAATTCAGTTGTTAGAATTGCTTCGTCAACAATATATATATATGTAATATATATATATATATATATATATATATATATATATATATAAATATATAATAATATATATATATATAATTACCATTTTCCCGATTTTCCATTTTTCGCTCCGATTTTCTCCATTTATTGGGAAAAATACTAAGAAAATCAAAAAGTGACTACCTAGTCAGATTTCATTTAAGAAAAAGTGCTATCATTTTAAATTGGAGCAAAATTGCTGATAGAAAAATTGTTCACAAGATTAAAAATGTCCATAATATGATTTTACTAATACATACATTTCGTACATTTTCTTGTTTTTCCTCAGTTTTTTTCCATTTGTTGAGTAAACTCCTGGAAAAATAAAAAGTACCTCCTTAAACTATCTCCTCAGTCAGAAAAAAAATAAACATAATTTTAAAGCCATGAGTTTCTTCGCACCATTCAGAATCTAAAATATTGAGTCATTATTATTTCTATACGCAAACAAAAAACAAACGGATATACTTCGATGGGTGGGCTATTGTTGTAAGTGAGAAGTTGGGAAAGTAGAGGGGAAATTTAATGTATAACTGTACGCAACAATTAATCAATGCTAACGAAAAATGATTCTGAGTAGAGTTTAGTTGTACACATTTTAAAAAGTCTAAATATTCACGATTTAAAAATAATACATTTCGTACATTTTCCCAATTTTTCCATTTATTATGAAAAATCATAAATTTACCTTCTTAAAATATTAACCCGGGAAAATTTCCCTGAAATAAAATTACTAAAATTGAAAATTAGAGCAAAATTTCTAAAAGAAAGTTGTTCACTGATAAAAAAAAAATAAATATATTATTTTAAAACCAATATACATCTAAAATTAACAACCTACAACCTTTGATTTTTTTGATATTGAAATATACGTATCTCGTATATTAGCTGCATATTTTAAGTAGGTAGGTAGATAGTAAATCAGATATTCTGATTTAGGGCACATAAGGGAAATGGAATCTCGTATTTTATAATGATGTAAAACGCTTTTTTCCGGAGGAATAAAGAGAAACAAATCAATCTTTATTTTTAGTGAACTGCGATAATATATCATAGTGCTTGTATTAGTATAGGTTTAACCAAATTTAATATTGTTGTGCTTCGTGACACGAACATAATAATATTATACTAACTCGTATTTTTCCTTGACAGAGACAAATCGATATAGCATGTGTAATAGTAACCCACCACTCACCCGAACGGCAAAATTACATTTTTAAATAAAAAAATGTTTAGGTTTTTTTAAATCATATTTAAACGTATGAAGAACATCACCCTCCCCTCCGCTAGTATTTTATATATATTATTTTATATTTTTATCTATCTATACAAATCTATTAGTTGTATTATGACATTTATTTACTCTTTATTCTTTATTCTTTAAATTTAAATCCAATATGATATAGTGCATAACCGATAGGAGCGATCGCTCTCTCTGTTCATTCTCAAATAAAACCTTATCAGCTGCATTATACTCTTAGCTTGATTTGTCATTGAGCTCGTCATAATTTTCCAAATCGCCCCCCTCTCCCCACCCGTTATCCTGGATCCACAAATGTGTATTGTGTACAACAAATTATAATTACTACAAATATTATATCTGCCATTTACATGTATTGTAAATACCTATTTATTTTCAGCTGGAAAAATAAAACTGAAAACACCGGGAGAGAAAAACACTAAAATATCAGCATCCAAAGACAAAATAATGTTCGATCGAAAATCGAGAGAAGTGGTAATTTTATAAAACTTTGGTGCCTAAAGTTATAATATAAATATGAGTTTTGATAAATCTTTTTTTTTGAAAATTGGTAACATAGTCTATAATTATGTATACAGGAACAGCCTATATCACGAAGATCTGATACCTGAAATAGATTTAAATTTGTCAATATTTTTAAGTTTTTTTTTTTTTTCTTAAAAATATTAATATATTCAAAACTATTTTAGTTGTAATAATTATTTCAAGTTTTTATTTTGTTATAATAATAACTAAAGTCTTGTGCTATCATTTTTCTATATTGTATTTTTCTTCAAACTAAAAATAACAAAAATTTCAGTGTTAGAAATATTTACCGAATCATTAATTTTCTATAATTTTTTAAAGTTTAAAACAATTTAAATTATTTGTATTACTACTACGAAATAAAATCAATTGATTTAACACATTTTTCTAACAATATTAATTTATATTTTTAGTTTTGAAAACTATAGTATAGAGGAACCATAATGCTCTAGAAATAATTACAGCAATAATAATAATAAAAAAGTGATAGTGAGGATAAATGCGTCCACTGTTGTAATGTATAACACATTTATGTCCGATGGATAGTTTTAAGTAAAAACCGTTTTAAATTCTACTAATCCATGTGAAAACCGATGTTTTCGTGTAACACGGTTCGGTTATTTTCTAAATAACAATGGTTTTCATTTTAAATTGAATGTGTCATTGAGGGTGATAGCTAAAAACTTCAGGATAACGTCAGTTTCCGTAATATTTCCTGTTCATTGTCTTCATCTAATATCTTAATAACAGCTTCTCGTATAAAACAACGTGACAATATTATAACGAATATAAATTATCTATTTAACAAACCACAACCCAAAGTTCTGCACCGTTATTAACAAAAACCACATAAACTTGTTAGTAAATTAATTTACAACGGATTAATATCCATTAAACTAGTCGTATCCTACACATGCCTCTCTTATTAATTAATTGTCTGTTTAACTAAAATATTATAGTTGGATAGGTAAGAAATATAATAATAAATCGATAAATTATAAATACTTATCGAAATCCCTAATTATAAGATATAAAAATGCCTAATTCTTTTGGATATTGAAATTAATTTGCGTCAAAAAAAATGTACATATTTTAAATTTGAGTTGCATCTAAAAAAATTTTTTTTATGTAAATAATGTAATATTATATTATATCTTTTACATGTTGTCGACAAAACTACAGAAAACAGTTGGCGCGGTAAAACGGTTAACCGCAATAGTTCAAATGTTCATTGGTACTCAGATATCTTGCAACCAACGTCATTTCAAAAAGAACACCCTAAAGAAAACCATGAAAATAAATCATTGGGGGTAAGTTCATTACAATGCGATTAATTCATTAAAATTTGATTTTATTTTTATTGTACGAGGGGTGGCTATAAAATAACGAGACTGGTTACGAAAAAGTGTTTTATTATAAAAGTTATTCTACATTCAAATGCTCCCCTTCAATATACTCCCCTCCCCTCGCCACACACTGTTTCATTCGTTTCTTCCATTGCTCGAGGCAGTGCTGGAAGTCTGTTTTCGTAAGACCATTCAGGAGTTTCGCCGATTTTTGTTTCACCTCTTCCATCTACTCAAACCGGATTCCTTTTAAGGCAGACTTTATCTTCGGAAACAAGTAAAAGTCGCAGGGTGCCAAGTCGGGTGAGTAAGACGCGTGTTCGAGTACTAGAGTGCCTTAAGCGGCCAAATAACGCTTCACGCTTTATCCTGGTGCAAGATCCACGATTTATTTTTCCACAATATCGACCGTTTCTTACGAACTCATTCGCGCAATGTTGCCAAAACTGTCAAATGGTAATGGTAGTTCACAGTTTGACTCTCTGGAACCCATTCAGTCATCACGATGCCGTTGATATCGAAGAAAACGGTTTTGAATTTGGATTACGACTGAATTGGATTCCGGTGCACTCTCGACCTTCAGAAAATAATTTATGCCACTCAAAAACACGTGCCCGAGATAGGAAATCCTCATCAAATCCTCAAAAAATCATAAATGTATAAAATATTAGACAACTGTACTTATACTTAATCATTGATAATCATAATTTAGAACTTTAGAAAACTGATATGAAAAAATCGTTTTTCCCTCATAGCGATTACAGAGCCAACTTGGAATTGGTCATTGCAGAACTGTTAGAAATGCTGGCTATACCTGAAATACATGTCGACAGTGATTATATGTCCGATTCCGAAGGCGCTATCGTTTCGATGGAATGTAACGGGAAAATCGCTCTAGTGGTTCGAAAACGTTTAGCACCGGCCATTCAACATTTAATACAACACGGTCTCATGGTGGTAAACTCACAATATGTATATTTTATTTTTTTTTTTTTTTTTAATAAATTATAATTTTCCTACCGTAAAACTCTCGGGTATATCTAAAAGTCGGTAAGCCCACTATTTTTCAGGAAGGGTCACAAAAAGGCACAAACCTGCAAGTATTAATTTTACATGATTAGCCATAATATAGAAAGCAACAATAAATCATTGACAAAATGATTCAAACTGTGCCTATTAGAGAGCTCAACATTTATTGATGTTAACTGTGATTATATATATCGGAGTGTAAAAGAGCTGAATTCTAATGCCAGCTTTGGTTATAGACCGGGCTTCATTTTCGGGCGGGAAGATTATGAATTTTTAGACAGGTTTTTGGGATAATAATTTACTAAATAGGTAAAGTGCACGAAAAATACATTATAAAAATTACGAGACAATGTTTGTAATTGAATTATAGATTAAGCAATTTTGCGTAATACGTATAGTCCGTAATAAAATTAGTTCAAATTTCGAGGTTATAACCTAGTTGTATCACTGATATATAATACAACTTTTTTTTAAACTTTAATTTATTTAAAAACAATTAAATCCTAGATTATGTATTATAACCTACATTATTTATCCTACAATTATATAATGGACAGGGCCGTGGAGAGAAAATTGGGGTCCGGGAGTAGTGACATACGAGCCCCCCCTTTTTTCCCATATTTTACTTTGGAGGTTCACAAACATTTTTCCTGTGACCACTTGCCAATTTTTTCCTGCTTTTCATAGATCTCCCCCTCTCCCTCTTTATATCATTTATTATCCTAATTTACATAGCACGCACCTCCAATTTTTTTTTCGGTGATTTAAAACCCTTACAGTTTAGAATAGACCCCTAGCGGTCTACATAGACCACTTTGGGGACCTCTGTTTTACATAGATGTTCGATATTTCTAATTAAAAATTGAAACACGCCATTATTTAAAATAATATCTTTATTTATCCTAAAGACACAATAAAAAAATATGTATTATATCAAATGTACAGCACCGTTCTTCGACTTTTGTTGTCTTATCTACCTGATCTACTACGCAAAGATAATTCTTGAAATAATCATTTTAAACTCATTACATGCTACTTTATATCAAATTATTTATTATTTCTTTGAAACACCAAGCGTACTATGTACATGGTGTATGATAATAAGCCGCATACTTTTTTTGTTCAAAAATTCAAATAATACAATTATTTTACATTAAAGTTTTATGGGATACTCGTGGGGGCCCGGATTTTTCAAAATTCCATAAACACTTATTTTGTTTTGCTTTTTCAATTCACATACCGGGCCCGGAGTAATTCAATCGCGACCCCTCTCCCGTTCATCGGACCTGATAATTGATACATATACTTTGTTCCTAAGTATTTAAATAGATGACGTGATTCCTACATTTATTTATTAATTGGAGCAAGTTTTTTTTTTGGTAGAAAAAATGCTAATACACGGGAAGAAAAAATAATAATACAAACAACAACAAATCACACACATAGTAAAACCAAAATATTTCTCACTCGCTGCGTTCAGAATCTAATATTTAAAGAGGCGCGTATTTTTAGGGATACCGCGTTTCTTTTTCTTTTTTTTCTGAAAGATTGCTAAGCAAATTTGCTATTTGAAAAACCAAATATCAACATCTTCATAATAACTCTTTTGTTTCATAATATTTTAGGAAAAAAGGCCACGTAGTGCCTTCAAAATATTATCCTCTTTAAATTCCATTACTTGTGTTTATACTCTTAGATTTTTGTATATTATATGGGTATCTGCCTACACAAAAATATTTTTACAATAATCTTAACTCGGGTTTTTGTATATAATTTCATCGGAATTTATTTCGAATGTTTTCAATTTTTAGATTTACAATCACCAACTATAACTATATACCTAAGTGTAGATGATAAAAAAAAATGATTCTAAACCCATGATAATACAGGTGGGTCAAAGCACGAGTGTCGTACCGTTTGTGGATTGTTTGCATCCAAAAACGAACAATACGAAAACGACAATGCATGCGTGGGAGCTCATATTAAAATATTACGAGATAAAAAATGGCGATTATTTTAATTCGACGCCTGCCCGCAAACTATCTCAAAGTTTTAATTTAGACATCGAAGGATGTAAATCGTCGATTTCATACAAACAAGTAAATTATTATTTTTCCTTTTTTTATTCACCTCTAATATTATATTAGCAAATTAACTGTATTTGTGTTTTTCGTTAACAAATATAATATTCTTGATTTATATTATACAGGGTTTACTGTCTATTATCGGAAATATAATTTCGTCTCATTCCCGTTTTAAACGAAGTTACGACTCGTGCTTCAAAGCCTTCATATGCGGAGGATTAAAGTGAGCCACAATATTATACAACTATGTTGTTCTTTTTCAAAGCTGGGCAAGTTGATCAATATTTTTTACTGTAATTTAATTTTTCCATAAATATTTTAAATCATATTGTTCTTAAATAAATTAACAACATGAATTCGTTAAAAATAATAAAATAACATTTCTATGAAATTTATAATATTTTCATTATTCATTATTTATTGAAATAAAATATTAAAGAACTTTAAACAAATAATAATTAATTAGGATTAGCTTATAAATTACACAGTAATAATATAAGTATAATTATATAAAAATTAATATACTTGTACAACAATCGTATACAGTATAAAAGTAAGAAAGTAGTTTTACATAGTACTGTATACTATATATGTTTCAACCTTGTCGAAAATAAATGAAATTATCACATACAATTGATTTAGAATACATATCAAGGATGTCTTCACACGTTATTTAGTCATCTAAAAGATGCTTTTTTTCATGTACTTTTAGCACTACCCTTACGTTTCTTTTAGACATACCTAATATAAAATCGCATAACCTTGGTGGAAGCGTGCGAAAGACCTTAAATGCCTTCATGTTAAGTACAAACAAAAATGTATGCTTTTTATACATTTACCATTCAAGGCGAATGTGAACCGTGTGGGTATCTCATAGGCCGCAATCCACTGCTGTTATATGATAGTGATATTCAAGTAAAAGTAACTAATTTTCGTCAAAAGATAAATGTAAAAAATAGGTATATAGGTAAAAAGGTTTTTGTACAAAAAAATTATAAATAGCTTAAACATAGTTACATTATAATAAAATAACTGAGTTGAGTTAAAATTATTAAAAGGAATAATTAACGTGCTTTATAATTTTGATTTTTTTTCTTTAGGTATTTAAATTAAAAGTTATACAAATAAGTTATAAAAAGTTAAACTTATAATTTAACTTTTAGATATTTAACTTGTTACTGCCCGGCTTTGTATTTTTTTAAAAGTTAATTTCATATACCTAGTCGTATATGTTTATTATTAATAAAATAACAACTGATATAATATTTTCATAACGCAACACTTTTTGTTTTTAGTTCGAAAATGTTGGTCAGTTGGTTGAAATTTATATTCAAATGTCAATCGTTAATCGAGCTTTACTATCAACCTTGGAGTTATGTAGCGCAGACGGGTATTATAAATAAATAGTTGTTCACCGTTATGTTTTATTCGATAGCTGCGGATTATGTTAAAAAGTTGAGATAAAATGCATTTTAAAATTAATTTGATTCCAGGTTTCGAGGACGCGTTGCATTCGTTAGAAAAACTGAATCAATATAATTTCGATCTTCCGGCAGATTTAGCTATTCGACAATTACAAAATATAAAAGATGCTTTTTAATAATTATAATAATACCATAACGATATTTTAAACCAAACTATTTTTATAAACCAAAGTAAAACATTAATCACCAAGAATTTTTATTTCTTAATATTTTGACCATCGTTATTATTCATAGAATAAAGTTGCGTAAAACAAAAATTATGTTTTTTTATCTGTTTTATTCCGTACATTAAAACCGTTATTATGTTATACTAAAAAAGTGTATAGATATACCAATATAATATTATGTATCCGCTGTATTTCAAATTTTAAATTTAAAAAAAAAAAAATTTTATCTTAGAATTATTTTTCGAATTTTTGTTTCAGCCTAATGATTTGTTTTACATTGTATAGTATTTCTTTCCAAACGTTTTCAAAATTTGTAAAACAAGTTTTTCAATCGACTATTCTAAAATGCCATTAAACTTGCCAATTCCATAGCTTTGGCTATAATTTTGTCAGCTGCACATAATAAAGTATTCAATATATGCGTATAAGTCGTGTTCTGATAGTTGTGATACAAAAAGAAATAACATAGTATAAACAGCCAGATTAAATTTTCAGCTATAATAGGGATAGAGTTTTGTAATACTTAAAAATGTATGAATTATGTATAAAACATATTATGAAATACAAATTAAATATAAATAAATGTTTGGTGTAAAGGGTATGCACATAGCTATTTAATAGGAATAGTAAGCAAGTTAATTAAAATAATTGATTCGATCACAAGGTCAAGTAAATAAACAAAAACGATTTAAGTTTTCGGTTGATCAAAAATTAACTTTAGTTTATTGCTAGCCATGTTAATAGTTAAAATTCATAAAGATATAAAATTATATCAGGTAAAACGTTTTTAGCATATGTATATATTTTAATTTACATATAATAAATAAATAAATATTTTAATAAAACCATTACGGTCAATTTGAATATATATATCGTTAACTTAATTGGATATTTATGAAAATTAACTGTAAAAAGTTAATTTATGATAGGTTAAATTTAAATAATGAAAACTTAAACTAGTTATAAATAAGTTAATTAGTTAATAATAATATTAATTGTCTAGTTAAGTTTAAAGTTTTAACTTATGAATGTCCACCATTACTAAATAAGTAATGGTAGTATTGACTATACAATTAAAATATGATGACAGTAATGACCTTTTTTCAAAAACCATTGCATAACTGGTTCTGCACTTCTGGCTCAGAATATTGGACATTGACGTTCATCAATATTAATATTTGAAATTATTAAGTTACGCCCATCGCTTAAAACAGTGCCCTGTGGCTTAAACAACACAAGGTGTGAAATATTATTAAGACGCATAGTCAATATTATTATGATACTTAATACTTTTGAAATTTATTTATCAAACTTGTACAAGTTTTTGACATTCGGATACTATTTGTTTATTTGGAGCAATCTACCATGTTTATCCACTCGTCCATGCTGCTAGTGAATTTATCGAACAAGGTTTTTAAATGTTCCATTATCATGGTTTTATACTGTGGTGACCAATCGCAACTTGCCGAATTTACGTGTTCTATATGTTGGTAAAAAAACTGCGTGATTTTGTTCAAATGATCCTGGACACGACACCAAAGACTCTGATCGCCAGTACCAAATCTCATGGTCCATGCGCTTTCAGTTTCTAACGCCAAATATTCTTTGTATAACTTTTTGAATTCTTTATCAATGATTTTTTTATAGCCGGGCAATGGTTTTTTACATTTCCCTGCCTTCTGCAATTTGTCGTTTATTACCTTTGAAAATAAATGAACAGTCGTTTATAGTCTAAATATAAGATACTTCATAATTATGGCATTTTGTAAAATAATTTCGTATAACAGATCCAATGTGTAAAACGAAAAACACCCTTAAGTAGCAGAACTTCGTCACTTTAGAATCGAATTACCTCCCAATTATTTTTTGTTGTTTTTATTTTGCTTATTTAACACCCCAAAGGGGTAATTATTTATAGAAATATCCATTGTAAAACAGTAAGTATCTGAATGATATAATAATACAATAAATATAGTAAATAAATATAGAAATAAAAAATTAATAAAATGAATAAATGCATCGCCTGGAGTATTATAAGCGTATTATATGACCGGTTTCAAATTAAAAATTCATCATCGGGTATATCACAGTCAAAATGTAAAACGCGACTGAATATTTATAAATATTTACAATTTAAAAAAAATTATTTTATTATTTTTTTATAATACTATAGTTTAAACTATATTGCTCTAAAAAAATTGGTAAAATATGAGCATAAAAATGGTAGGTGGGGTTGAAAGTTGAAACCCTCGAAAAATACATCTTTAATAGGTTTGTAGGTTTGCTTAAATCAGGAACTGGAATCGAACCAAAAAAAACCGGTTCTGGAATCCAAAAACTATTTAAATATACCACAGTACCGTGCTAAATAGAATCGTCACCCAATGGTTTTACAATTAACCGATGGAAAAATAAATAGTGATCATAATCTGAATGCTAAACCTGTCCGGCTGCGTTCACTTGTACATTAATAGTAAAAATATTCAATTAAACTACTTTTCAGTCACCCCTCCGGTCTTTGTTTGGCGCCCCTGTGGTTAGGTGAGTGGGCACCTCTCACACCTCCCTAGGCACGACCTTCTCAGAATCTAACCAGAACCCATATTTTTTAATGATAAATACCGGGTTTTTTATAACGATTAAAATAGTTTCTTATTTTTAATTTTTAAAAGATTTATTCATTTTAATATATTTTTTCATAATTAACGAACTATATAAAGTATAGGTAAGTAATAAGTACATAATAAATTATTATACTTAAATAAAGCTGTACATTGATTAAATGTTGGTATATTTTGGTCGTATTCGTTTCACATCAATACCTGAGACAAGAAGGTCAATTTCAGTCATCAATTTGTTTTTTATGATATTGAAGGTAAAATTATAATGATGCACTTTAGATTAAGAGCGGAGCGTGAAATCTATAGGTTTTACCATGATATTATATGGTTTTATTTTTCTTTCTGTAAACAATTTTTCGAAAATAAAACTTCCTCTGATATATCAAGTGTAGTAGCTATTTTGAAAGGTAATTTTATCTAGTTGATGCATTAAAGAAGTTGTTTTTTGATTTTTTAAGGGATTTTCATAATAATAAAGAAAAAAAATTATAGACAACAAATATTTACGGTACATCACAGTGCCACTGAATTACCGATTTCATTATTTTTAATTTTTGCCAACTATGTTTTCTACTAGAAATATTGTTCCAATAAAAAAAAAAAAACAAACGACCAATTAATTTTAATTTTTAACGTTATTGGTAAGCACCAAAGTCGTTTTTTGATTGTATTTTTTTTAAAATTTAGTAAAACCAAAAGTAAACGTAAAAAGAACGGGGAAATTTATGAAAATAATACATTTATTATTTTCGGTTTTTTTTTTTGTAATTTAATTTGAAAAAATAAAGCGATACTGGGGACCATTGTTATAGGTGGAAAAATAAAATAGAAAGGTAAGATACATAAAGGTATTTATTGGTTTATATTTTTAAACAACGAAAACGATTCAGAGTGAACTTCGGTTGTACATAGTTTTAAAAGCCGTAATATTTATGATTTTCATTAAAATTTGACATTAAAAATCGTACGATTGGTGGGCCACTACTGTAGGTGAGAAGTCGGGAAGGTAGAAAAGAAATTTAATGTATATAAGTACCACTAAGTATGACTTATAAATTATTATGAACCTCTTACCAAGTTTTTATAAATTTCTGTTAAGTCTAAAAATTTATTTACAGAATACCTACTGAATAAAAATTACGTAAAAATCTCGCAACATTTAAATGTCTAAAATGTCAAAAATTGCTTAAATATTCTGAAAGTTTTACCCCATCTAAAAAAAGTGAATATAAGTTTTCTGTCAAAAGTATGTACGAATATTTAAACTGAATTTTATTAAAAAGACAAAATTTAAAATAATAAAATTATTTTTTTTCGTACATTTTCCCATTCTTTCTATGTATTTTTTGGTTTGCTCAATTGTTAAAAGAACTACAAAAAAAAAAAAAAAAAATCAAAAACAAGTTTCTTGGCCACCAACTAGATTAAAAATTCGATATAAAAGATATTTTGATATTTTTTTATTGGAACAGTATATGATAAAAAACATAAACCGCACACATTTTAAATGATGAAATCGTTGTGCTGCAATTTGAAAAAAAAATTGTATATTTCGTCTTTTTTGGTTTTTCCGAATTATTATGAAAAATACTTTAGATATTAAAAAATTGCTCTCTACTCATTGGCTACGTGATATAAGTAACGAAATCGATATTTTGTCATTTTTCGATATGAGTAGTTCTGAAAATAGTATTGGAATAGTTCTGGTAGAAAACATAACATTGAACAAATAATGAAATTGGTAACGCTGAGGTGCACCGTAAATATATTTACCGTTTTACCTATACTTTTTTCCAAATATTTTGAAAAACTCTACAAAAAAATCACCTCCTTAATACACTAATTAAAGAAAATTACCTCTCAGAAAAGATGCTTTAGTCTATACTCCGGAGTAAGTTTTCTGGTAGAAAAGTTGATTAAAGACAGAAAACAAAATACACACATCATAGTAAAACCAATAGATCTCGAGCTACGCGTCGGATCTAAAAAATATATGGACCCGATCAGAATCCCAAGTCTAAACCATAATTTGTATTTGTTATGCACTTGAACCTTTAAGTAAAACAGTTGGTACCGGAACCGGAAAAACAAAAAGGCACGACCTAAGTTAAAAATAAACACCGCAACGACACGATGATTGAAATTCAATCCGATTTCTTTCACAACTAAATCCGCTTAAAAATGTCCAAAAGTAACGAGAAAAATACGATATAGACATTAAATACGCAATGAATGCAATTGTCCTTATTTTTGGGGTGAAAAGTAAAATAAATATTAAGTTTATTTTTTCAAAATCTAAAAAAAAAAAAGTGACCCGTGTAGTATAGCCAAGTAAAAAAGCTGCAGTACACATTCAATTGCCGTGCTCGTCGGTCGTATTACCTTTAGCTGACAAGCCCTCATCAGCTTGAACGACTCTTCGAGTAGTGTCCGGTCCACATTCTCGCGCGGCTTTTCGGTGGTCAGCCCGGCGAGCGTCATTTGGCGCATCGCGTACTCGGTTCTGGCCGTTCGGGACGGCGTCCACACGGACAGACTGTCTACAGACGGGAACCGCTTCAGCGGGCCGAACGCGTTCATATTGGACAAGACGTCCGCGACGGGCGTCCCGTTTTCCGGCCACGAGTACGGCAATAGTAGTTTGCGAAACAAAGTAAAAATATTGTTAAAATAATCCATTTTCACGCACACACAGGCGCTTGTTATTATCTAAAATTATAAAAATTATAAAAATTTTAAAAAAAAATTATAAATGAAAATCGTGTAATATACAGCGGTGTATACGAAAGAAACCGTCGACTATAAATAATAAAATACCTCTTATTATTATTATTATTATTATTATTATTATTATTATTATTATTATTAATGTTATTATTATTGTAATTACCAACGACAACGGAATATTATCGAGTTAATTTACGACGTCGATTTACTTTTGTACTGCGACTGCAGTTACCGCGGTGAACACAAAACGTACGTGTCGATTGTTTTATTAAATACGACTGCAATCAGAATGCACGTATTCTGTTTTTCTGTATTTAGACGCGAACGATATAATATAACTAACATATAATTACACCTTGCATGTTCAGCTCATTTATAAATCCCATTCGGTAATAATATTACCGGTGACACGGCGTCCGCGATTGCGGCCGATAATGCGGCGAGGACTGAGATGGTGGCCATTAGCGACAGAGTTTGACGGGCCCGCGAGCATCCAATGTGCCGGTCACGGACGTCTGCGGATAACGGCCATCGAATTGGCTCAAATCTCGGCCGCGTTGATAGTGGCAGTGCGCGCCACCGGTTGGGTGCAACTAGCTGATCACCGTCCGGGACGTGACGGACCACGAACAATAATATTGTACCGTTACAAACCGATTATACAATTGTACAATTATACGATTGGTGCATGATGGTGTCCGGATGCCAGTAACTTGGCGTCCACGACTAGTGGTTCGGTCGCACGTGCTCGGCGTCCATCGATGCGTAATTGACGTTATTGTAATATTTTCGACATCGAAATAATATTATTATGGTAGCCGCTTTCGAGCATATCATATTGTAATATACTAAATAGATCACCCAGCAATATATTATATTCTTTTCGAAAACATTAGACAAATAAACAAAAGAAATTAAATTTAACGTGTCTTCCCGTTTCCAAACTTATCCCTTCCCCATCACAATTAATCGTTGTTGCCCAGTAATAATTCATCTTTCAACCAATTATTAAAATAACAATAACCGTTCATTTTTTTTATCCGTGTCACCAAGGTCGTTTATAAATCTACTAAAAAAAAAAAAAAAATCAATATTTTATGTTAAAATATCCAAACCCATGTTTTAGCCTTCACTTGGAGGTTAAATTTCATTATAAAAATAATTTCTATCCGTATTAAATAGTTTCTGAGGGAGTAAATTTACGGTGTTTCTTAAATAAGAGTTTATTAAGAAAACAGCAAGTGAAATTATTATAATATTACATGTAATAAACATGATGAGAACACAGCCGGCATTAGGGGTAGGCACTAAGCAGTTATGACATTTGCCTAGGACCTCGCGGTTGGCACATGCTTTTATAGTAGAATATTATGCAGAATATTTCATAATACTAATTCAAATTTTAAATAAATTGATTAGTATCACAATTGTACAAGACCGTGTACAATACTATGATATCATAATGAATAATAATTACATAACTTCAAATAAGGATAACCGGCAGCACTCATAGGCAAATTGTGAATTAAATCTGATTCAATAAGTGGACATCGTTCAATAGACAGAGGGGTAACAGTCGTCGGTTATGTTACAATATTTAACAGCATTATTTGGTGATAGTTGTGTATCATTTTTTCTTTAATACATTTATGCATTTTTTTAATAGTATTTAAATTGAAATTATTTCTATGGGCTATATTACAGATAATATTAAGCTCGTGTTGATAATTATGTTAATTTAATGGAATACGTTCAAGCCTATAGAATTAAAAAATTATATTTTTTGAGGATAAGAGTGATTAGAATCACGAGGTATTATAGCATCAGTTTGTGTAGGTTTCCTGTAAATACTAAAATCAAATTTGTTGTTTATAATGGAAACTGTAAGATCTAAGAAATTAAATTTATTACCTATTCATTTGAATTTTGAGTGTAAACTGAATGTTTTAATTTATTTTGTTAAGGTAATTAATTATATTTTCTGCTTGTCTATTGGAACTTCTAAATAAAATGAACGTGTCATCAACATATCTATAATATGCTTTTATATATGTGCTATTTATTTTGTTGTTAATAATATTATTGGTTTCATAATTGTGCATGTAAATTTCAGATAAAAGAGCACTTAAAGGACCACCCATAATTAACTCATCTTTATGAGAATATAATTTATTATTATTTTGGAAATAGTTTTGATTAATAATTACATTTATTGATTGAATAATTTGTTGTACCTTTTTTGTATAAATTTATTTCTATGTATAAGTTTATCTTTTAAACAATTTATTGTTTCGTATTTAGGAACGGATGCATATGCATTTTTGACGACAAGAGAAATTATTTTGTAACCTGACTATTAATTGTATTCATTTTACCAATAAAATCATAAGTATTTATAATAGAAGTATCTGTGTTCATGTTAAATTTGTCGTTTTACAAGAGAGTCTAAATACTTAGCAAGGTTATAAGCCGGAGTAGTTTTAAAGTTAATTAATGGACGAATCAGATTATCATGTTTATGTAAATTTTATGAATGGATGTAAGTGTTGAACCTCTATTTTGTAACCAGATTTTAATAATATTTTATTTTGGACTTAAGATATGATTTCTTTCGAATTTGTTATCAGTTTGTTAATTTGCTTAGTGTACATTATAGTTGAGTCATATGTTAAGTTTTAAATATTATTATTATTTATTAAATCTAAATTTTTTTTAAGAATTTCACTAGTGTAAATGATAAAAATAACTTTAGATTTATCTACCAGAACTATTTCTGAATTATTCGTTTTTAATTTTTTTGCTATGTTGTTAATAATTATATTTTGTCGTTTAACTATACTATTTTGTTTTAATATTTTATCATGTTTATTTTTGTAGTTTTTATAGGTGTTGTTTATTAAGTTATATCTTGTTTGATTTTGATTTTGAAATTGTATATGATTAATAACAGATTCACACTGTGTTAATTGATTTTTAATTGATTGAAAGTTTAATCTTTAATAGTATTGAATTTATTACCTTTATTTAATAAATTGTTTTCAACTTTATTGAAAATTATGGAAATTAAATTAATAACTCATGGCTGAAAAGAATGCTGGTTTTTAAGTTATAATTTCTGTGTATTTTGTGCTACTGAAATATTAATTTTTGTAATTTACCCTACGCCATTTCTCATTTTTCAAATGTAGTAATTTGTATTTATTTGATTTTTAAAGTGTGAAATCTGTTAAGTGGTTTAAATTTTGGGATACTATTGTTTTTAAATTATTAATCTCCCCTACTAATACGTATTTTTTGCTGAATATAAATTTTATTTCAGAGCTCAACCATATTGCATCTGCTCCTTTCTTGGCTTTGATTTCTTACAAGTTTTATTGAAGTAAATATTCATATTAGTATACATTAATTTCATGTTTAAATATTCAATCCTTTTCATTAACTGAGTTAGACCATTGATTTGACTTGCTATAAAAAATAATACAATTATAAAGTAAAAACAAAATTATTAAAATGGTTAATACTTAAATACTTATAAATAAATAAAGTAAATAAATATAGGTAATTAAAAAAAAATTTTAATCAGGAGATCGTCATAGAAGACATTCTAAAGGACATTTCTAAACCGAGCTGAATCTGTCCTGGAGACGAATGGTCAAAGTGCGGTCCTTTATGTAAGAGCGCAGTATGTTAACCAAGTAGGAAAGAATCCCTTTGTTGCCCAGGGAGCCATCTACTTGATCCCAAGGCACCGAATTGAAGGTGTTATTTATGTCAAGAGCCACATGAGCACTGAACTCCCGTTGTTGAGAAAGGCTTCAGGACCCTGTTTATAGCAATCTCGGTTGAGTTACCCTTATGAAAGCCAACCTGGTTTATACTAGGCGATAAGCTGTCACACTGTCCAAGCGGTGTGGAGGATAACCTGATGACAGCAAATCGTCATCGGTTGGACACCTTAACAAAATCGGTGATGGCCCGTCTCTTACCTATGGAACCTAGTTTGTGCGGTTTAGTCTTGAGACTAGTATGATCGCAAGCCACACATTTCTGTAAGAGAAAGAGGCAGTCAGCCTCTTTTTGTTCAGCATCTCCACATCTCGCCGGTGAGGTCGAGGCTCTTGTAGCGCTCATTGCAGTGTCCAAAACCATAGCACCGAACCCAAACCACGTGGACATGGATCACATTACTTAATAATAATTAGTTTGAATTATAATCCATGCATCAGTTCTTTCATCTACTTTATTGCAAAAATTCTATATAACAAAATAAATCTCTTGGACCTTTACGATTCGTTATAAAGAGTTTTCAATGTATATTTTCCTTTAACATATTTGAATACGTTTACAAGATTGCAGTGATCAAATCGTTTAAATTGTTATGAAATATATAAGGTATTTTAATAAAATGTAAACAAGATGTTAAAAGCTTTATGAGATTAAATCATAGATAGAAAATTGAATTGAATACCAGGGTATTTGATAAGCTGAGAGATTTAAAAAAAAAAAAAAAAAAAAAAAAAAAAACATAAATTTTAAAATAAAATGGTATTAATATAATGAAAAAGGCACTTAAATGTAGAATTTTAAAAAATAAAAAAAATCACTATACAATGTACAATAAAAATGCATAAATATAAGTTGACATTTTGATGCATGTACAAAAATTAATCATTGTAAATATAATATAAGTAAACTAATGAAAGGGAGATCATAGATTTACCTCATTTATTTATTCTGTTAAAGAAAATGTTCAATCTTATTTGTTTATTTAACAGTACTTTGGCGAGATTTGCCAATGTGGTAGATAGAGACGTGTAAGTACTATAAACAAATGTTATAATTAAATTAAATTAACAATATTATATTTGAACAAAGTATAAATAACGACAACATAAAACGAATAAACGGAATGTGCTGGTGAGCACATGCTCGAGAAGCAATTAAAATAGATTTCTTCTATTTTGTTGTTCGAGAGAATTAATTTTTTGAGAGCGATAAGTTTGTCTAAGTTTTGTATTACACTAATATTATTATTAGATAAATCTAGTTTTCTGAGGTTAACTAGTTTATCCAATCCTCCTATGGTTTGTATTTTGTTATTAGATNTTTAGTTATGTAAGAGTTACATGAAAGATCTAGAGTTGTGAGTCTCACTAAATGGTCAATGTTTTTTATGCGAGTTAATTTATTGAAAGATAGGTTAAGGTGTTCTAAGTTAAAAGGTAAATTTGTATTTATGGTTTTTATGCGGTTATTTGTTACTTCCAAAGTTTTTAAATTAAACAAGTATTTTAGGTTAGGTATGTGACTTATTTTGATATGATTAAGAGTTAAATTTTTTGTGGATTCGTTAAATTTCAGTCTTCTACGTTCTAAGTTAACCCCAGTTATATTAAGTCCTAAATAGTTGAAATGTTTTTTGCATTTTAGTAAATAATTAACTTGTTTTAAGTTCTCGAGTCTTAGGCTGCCATAGTCCAATTTAATATGTTGTAAATTCAGTGCAGTTATAATGTTTGTAATGTCATTGAAGTTTAAGAATTTTGTTATGTTATTATATAATATACAGATGACTTGTTTGGAAGTTGATGTTTTTTTCTTTGAGTGCAGATGATCTGCAAAAAAAAAAAAATAATAATAATTTAAAATAAAAAATAAATCGTTTATAATCAACATTTAAGCTAAATTTAAAAAAAAAGCAGCTGAAAATATTGTCATATTGACTAGATGGTACTTTAGGAGGGTAATTTTATTGATTTTCCAAGCAGTTTTCATAATATCAAGAAAACCCAAAATAAAGGGTAAGAAAAACGGGAAAAATTACAAAAATATGCTTTTATTATTTTGTATTTTGTTTTAATACAGCATAAAATATTCATAGAAACTTGAAATTAGGACAACATAGAAAATATATATTACTTTTTCGTGACATGGTATAATTTTTGAGCAATTTTAAAACATTTTAATTTTGTAAGTTATTGTTCGTAATTTTTATTTGGTAGGTACTTGTGGATAAAATTGTTAGGACAAACAGAAATACTTGAGAATTCAACATAAGGATCATTAAAAGTCAAATTTTGTGATAAAATAAAGAAAAAAATTGAGCTCAATGTAGTATTTTTTTTTTTTATAAAGGAATTTTCATATCAATTATGACGAAAATTGTTTGAGTAAAAAATTATGTGGAACAAATCTAATTTTTAAATTTTTTGTTTTGAACATAAATTGTATGTTGCCGATTTAAGAACGATAGTGAAGTTAGAATTGAAAGGATTGACTTAGTTTAGAAATTATAGCTTTTTGAAATTCTGATAACAAATGTTATATTAAATAACTATATATTGTCAATTTTATATTATATCTGTAGTAATTTTATGGTGTTACCTACTTATTGTCATCCTAGAGATGTTCAAACCCGAATTCCGAAAAAAATTGTTTCCATTTGTTTATTCACTTTTAGCTAAACATTTTGGAGTATTTTGGGTCTTCCTAAAGACCCAACCTAGAAATGCTTGAGAAGTCAATCATTTATGTTAGGTCTAACAATTTTACCACAGAGTACCTACCTAATAAAAAAAAACCATACAAAACTTGTAAAATTAAAATGTCTATAAATAGCTCAAAAAAGGCTATAATTTTTTTGAAAATTTTACTACGTCTGAAAAAGGTTAATATAAGTTTTGTATCTAAATTTTAAGTCCATAAAGGCCATATGAATAGTTTTAACTGAATTTTTACAAAAATTAAAATTTGTATAAAAAGCTCAAAAATAAAAAGCAAATATTAGTTTTCTAAACAAATTTCAAGTCTCTACAAATATTTTTAACTAAATTACAACAAATAACAAAATTGAAAAAATAATATGTCTCATATTTGTAAAGTTCCCGTTTCTCTGATGATTTATCCCGGGTTTCCCAGATATTATGACAACGGCTTGGAAAATCAAAAAAATAACCGGGTTAAAGTACAATCTAAACAATATTTGCTTTTAGAAATAGTGCTGCTCGTACATATCGAAGCAAGATTTCTGGTAGAATTTGTGTACATAGTATAAAAAAAAAAATAAAACTAATAATGTAATGTAATGTAAAATGTAGGTAATGTAGAACCAATGCATTTTTCGCTACACATAAAATCTCAAATGATTAAATTTATCTTCGCTTACAATCAATACATCATTTTTTTTTTATTTATCAAAGATGTTCTAATAATATTTTCTTCTGTTGAAGTCATATTTTGATTTTTAGAATTTAGGACTTTTTTATTGGGTTTGCATCGTACTTGTGGTTCTATTTTTCTTTTATTATTAATTTTCCGCGAGACCGCCATATCGTCAGCAGTTCGTTATGGTCTAAATTTAATGGGTGCGCTCGAAAAGGTCATTTCTCCGAAATATCTTTATCAGTAACATTATGATAATATTATATTAAGATAAAAATCCTGAAGAAGACATCTAAGAAATACAAAAAGTTGTTTATTGTTTTTTTTAAATATTTAGTAGTCAAAAGGTAAACTATATATATATTTTTAAAATGTACTGTAAAGAAGTAATATTTTTTTTGTTATAACTAAAAAGTTACAAACATTTTTTTTCTTACTACTTATTTCATAGTTTATAAATAAAATTATTTCAAAGAATACATAATATATTTTGTATGGCTTATTATTTAATTTTATATGGTATAATTTATCAGATTCGCAAGGTTATAATCAATGTAAATTTGCAATCCACTGGAAAAGGCCATATCTCAAACACGTTTATTTCTTTATAAAGTAATCAAATAAATATAAATAATCAATATTGTAGTAAATTTCTTTTCTTAAAACAGTTTTTTACGTTTCCTGAACATTTTCATTTTATGGAGAAATGGCCTTTTCGAAATGCCCGATTCAATTAAAATTGTGTACATTTAGTCAGAGGTTTATTTGTCCTACTGATCAACTGGTCTAATGCTTACGAGATAACAGTATCAATAAAATACTGTAATCCTCTCGTTTTATCTATTCTAAAAACACTGTATCGTACTGTATCATAATAATTAAAAACGTTTGTTATTAGTATTGGTAGGTAGGTAGTTGGGTAACGATAATAATAAGACAAATTATGTGAAACTTCAATATTGTTATGATGCACAGGTATATAGGTATTTACAACATTTTATTAAAGTACCTTGCCACCTCTTATACAATGATTTATAAAGTGTAACATTAGTTTGTAATCAGTATGTAATAATTTAGTTGATCATTGAATTAAACACTTTAATAATGTTGAATCCTAGGGATATTTTTTATAGATTAAAAAGAAGCTTGGAAAAAATTAAAATGTAAGTTGAGTTTCATTTACATATTTCAAGTTATTATAGTAATTTTAGGAATTTTGGTCAACGAAACATAAATATTAAACATTACAGATCAAAGAAAATTGGAATTGTATTTACTTTATTACTTACTTTGATGTATTATCTAAGCCCATACCTAAAATTATCTGGCAATCCAAGTCTGGAATATGGTATGTATGTTTGTTTTCTTCAAAATGTATTAATTGATGTTATAAATCTAATGAAATTTAATTGTGAGAACTACTAGGCACCTCTTGTAGCTTTTTTGTTTGGCCTTTATAGTTTAATTTAAATATTAAAATTATTTTTGTTATTTACAACCTGTTATATTTTTTTTATGGAAATATTCAAATTTAACAACTATACCTTAAATATAGATAATTTTCTCATATATCTGATATTAAATAATTAGTGTAATAGTGTACAGTCAATGTTTATACATATTAAAAAGTCATTAACATTCTAATCTCACATGTTTCTCTAAAATAATAATAATAACTTGAATAAATTATCTTTTAAAAAATTATGACAGATAGGTGTACATGGATTTTGTACCTACCTTATAGAAACCTAATATTTTTTATAAGTTAACACAAGTACCTACTAAAAATAATAATTGAAGCTTTTTATTGATCATATTGTATTTTTTTTAAATGTATAGATGAACTGTTTATGAAAAATGATCTGTTTGAAAAGTTAACCATTCATAAAGAAGCTTATAATGTATTTGATGCAAACATCAAGCATGAACCACTGGATATCAATGAGAAACCTTATAAAGAATTTGTTGGAAATGGTTACATCGGTGTCACACTTGATTATGACTCTCCAATATACATTAAAGATGAGAGATCTTTGTCTATACCTGTTTATTGGCACCCAATAATCAAATTGAATATTGAAGCACCGTCACAGTTGGCTACTGTTGTCAACTATAAAAATGGTATAGCATATCGATATGAATGTTTTGCCAACAAACTTCAAAGCAATATTAAATATTATGCTTACCGAGCTTTACCATCAATTCTTGTTCAGGATATAGAACTCATGAATCCATCAGATTTTATATTATTTGTTAAATTGAATCAACCCATGCGGAAACCACATGCTTGGTCATTGTATAGTACGCGTATCATTAAGTATGTTAATCAATAAATGCTCACCTCGAGAAAAAAACAAAACAATATATTTATTAATTTAATTACATTGCAGACTAGCAGAACAGAATGGAAATTATGTAGTGGCATCTGGTATTAGTATATCTACTTCTGAAAACCCAATTCATGCTGTTTCTATAACATATTCTCAATGTCCTTCTAGTGTGAAGGTTAAAAGAAAAATATGTCTAAATTTTATTACTAAAATAATTTTTTTGTTTACTTTTTGTTCTGTATAGATTTTACCACATGGTATATTTAAATTACGCATACTGGTCTCTGTAGAATATCTAGCTTTAAAAAAATCATCGGAGTTTAATGGTGTAAAGCAAAATTTAGAAAAAAAATCAATTGAAGTGAGTATTATTAATTACTAACTAAACCCAGATATAATCCAATAATTTTTACATAATGATAATGAATTTATTATTAATGATATTATCATACAGCCTTTGTGAATTTCTTTAGTAACAAATTTGTTTATTGTTTTTTCGCCCACACAATGAATGTGCTAACTTAACCCATTTTTTTCTAGTATTTAAAAGCAGAATTTTTAAAAATTGCTTCAAAAATTAAAATCAGTACATTTTTTATTTTATTTGGCTCTTATTTCATTTTATTTCATTTAGTCAAAAGAAATTATTTTAAAAAAAAATTTACAATTATTCTGTTGAGATTTATGGGTGGAATATTAGAATTCCAGCTTGAGGTGGACCTTGATTCAATCACTTTTAGTTTTTGTATGAACATTTCTGGAAATATATGAACCTGTGTACAATAAAATAAGTAATTTATCACAAATTAACAATTCGTTTATTTTTAATGTTTATTATAAATGTATAGTATGATGTATTATATTGATTAATTCAAATTTGTATGCACTATTTTTATTTAACTACATTTGTATAATTTTAAGTCCATATTAAAACTACCAGAACACGAAAATATTGAAAAAATACATATTAATATCTGGGAAAAGTTATGGAGTACTGGATTTTCAATAAGTACATCTAAAGCAAGTGATGTTTTAAATGGTGATCTAATCAATGCCACTATGTATAATGTTTTGTCAAGTGTTCGGTCCCCTACACATGAAGTTCCTTCTTCTACTGATGTACTTGCAAAAGTTTCCAGTAGCCTTTCATATGTTGAAGGTTGTTATGGTGCTAACCATGATACTCTGTATGTGTATATTTTAATATAACTACAATAAAGAACATGTTATTAAGGTATTTGTTAATGTTATTTTAGACAAGCTGTGGGGTTGTGGTCAAATCTTTCTACAATTGATAAAGTTCACAGTACTGTATCATTGTGGATTCTTACTTTGGAAAAACAAGTATGTAATAATTATTAATAAAGTTGTATTCCAATTTACTGCTTTAAGGTAGGCCACTGATGTAGGTTAGACCTGTAAGTCAGTTATAAATAAAAGGATAACTTAGTTTATATCCTATATGCAATAGTAAAATTATTACCAACAAAAAAAAAATTATAAATAGAGTTTAATTGAACATTTTTTAATAAATAGCATTTGAAAAATGTGTTAATAATTTGTAACTAAAAAAAAAAATTTAAATAATTTTTTATTTCTGTTTTTAATAAATTTGATCAATTATATAATTTAAATAATTGATGGTTTATACAAATATAAACATAAATTATGAAATTTAAAAATACTGTTTTCAAATAATAATACATAACCAAGAGTATTATTATATTAGGCATTTACATTTTATGACAAAAAATAAGTCATAATCTAATAATACTTATTACACATGACTAGAATTTTGATTTATATTCTCATAGAAATTTTAAAATTGCTTATTCCCTTTCGGTTTAACAATGAAACATTTTTAAAATTTTTTTTTGGAAAAACTTTTCTACCAGAAATCCTTCTCGGTGTAACAAAAGTGAAACATCATTTTTGAGTTTTCTCAACAATTATGAAAAACTGAGGAAAAAAATGGGGAAACCGGGAATATACAATGCATAATACAATTTACAAATATTTTTAAAAAAAAACATACAATGCCTATATAATTATTTTACTATGGTATGTCATATATATTTTTGACAAAGCAATCAATCTAACTCCTCTCAGAATCGTTTTTTGTAAGCATTGGTTTATCATTGCTTACAGATATACATTAAATTTTTTTTCTACTAGCTTTCCAACTTCTCACCTCCAACAGTGGCTGTACCCCATATCCATAATTTTTTTTGTTTTTACCACTTGTTTAGCTTATAATAAGGCTCCTGTTAAATTTCTGTTTGGTCAAACACTTATATTCACATATTGCCTACAAAATAAAAACTGTAAAACACTGGCAAACATAAAAAATTTCAGATGTTTTGAACATTTTATTACCTCTAAAATAGTGAATTATAAGTTTTCTGTTAAAATTTCAAGTCCATCTGAATATTTTAAACTGAATAACAACACAAAATAATAAAAATCATCATTTTTGTAAATTACCCCCTTTCTTTCTATGTTTTTCAGTTTTGCTCAATTATTAAAAACCTACATTGATAATCAAAACCAACTTTCTTACTCAATAACTAGTTATGAAATTCAATAAAACCAGTAATTTGTGGAATGACAACCCATAAAATTAAATAGATAAAATAGATTTCTCTCTATGCTCAGAATCCAAAAATCTAAATATATATGAAAGTGGTTTATTTTTAAAAAATAATACAATTTAATATTCATCTTTGTGAAAGTAGTTTTCTTCATTTACACATATATAACTGTAATTAGCTCTTATTATTTTTGAATTAAGTTAAAAATTTAGGTGCATTTTTAGAAAAAAGTAGAAGTGATAAAGTGTGAGGTTTGGTGAAAAGGGAAGGTGTTGAAGTATAGCTATTATTTTGTTATAATTTATTGAATTTAAATCGTACTATGAGCTGAATCATTGTCACAGTGAAGAACCCAGCCATTCTTCCATGATAATATTGATTGACTGTTTGACCATTTTGCTGAATGTTTTGTCTAGTTTTGTCAACATTCTCATTGGTTAAAGACATGGTAGGATGATCATTATCTTCAATATCTTCAACAAGTTGAACAACTGAATTAAGCTACTTAAAACTTTAGGATCAAAAAAAAAAAGTTCTGACAATTACGAATTCTACTATTCATACCCATAAATACATATTTTTTTTTTTTTATAAATAAATTGTATTTATATTTAACTACATATAGGTATGTATACATTAAACAAATTAACTTCAAACAAATTTTAACCATGGATTTAAAATATTAAAGTAATAAATTATAGTAAACTAAATATTATTTTTAGTATAAAATAGTTAATACCATATTAAATATATAAATATTATTTGGATTAATGCAATTTCCTAGAAAATGAATACTGATACAAAATTTAATTACAGCATATAATATCTATTATACATTATAAATAATTGAACACTATTAATTTACAACAGTTATTTCAATAATATTGTTATAACTTAATAATTTAAATAATTTATTTTGAATAAAGCGTTTAATTTTTAGGGATGTAATAATTTGGTTAAAGCGGGTGCTTTAGGAATAGCTCAAGCGATGGTTTTAAGCTTTGGAAATTTCCGATTTAGTAATCAACATCTGGAATTTAATATGCATCCGAAATTTTTGCACAGAGACTTTCAATTCCGGTATAGTATAAAATATTATATTTATACTATACTAAAATAAATATTTATGAATATAACATTTGATTTCATAATTTAATGATTAAATAAGTTTTATGAATATTAACGATTATGGTTAATATTTGTATATGAATAGACACATCAATTATGGTAATAAGACACATATAAATGTAACAGTCACAGTCCAAGAAAATAACAAGGCTGTTATTTTTGTGGCTCTGGATGCTAGTGATAGAAATTATTATGCATGTGATGGTGGTTGTTTAGATGAACCTGTTTTATTGGGGTGAATATAATTGAAGAAGAATGATATTTATCTCTCAAAAGTATACAGGTTTTTTTTTTTAATTTCAGACAACAGTCTAAGATGTTTCCTGTTAAGCTAACAGACCCTGTAACTGGGATATTATATTTGACCTCAGATAAAAAACACATGGAAGACTTAAAACATGCAATTCATGTAAAAGAAGTTTTAGAAGGTAATCATTTAGTTGTGGTTTTTATGTAGTAATATATTGATAGTAATATTATTAATACTGTTAAAATTTGTTTAGCTCCTGCCCACGAACATGATGTAATAGCACTTCACAGACATGGTCATCATCTAGGAGGATTACCAACATTTTTTTGGGTTGCCATTGGTTGTTTAATTGTTGTGTTTCATCTTTTCCTAGTTAAACTTATATATACTGAATATTTCAATTGGCAAGATAAATCAAGAATAAAATATGGGAAATTATCATATAAGTAAACATAAATATGATTATAAAGATTTAATAATAATTATTTTATATTAAATTATTTTAAAATATATGATTAACCCATCAATGAAATGAGCTTGTTTTACATATTATGTATCCACTATGTAGAGGTCATGACAGTAAAGTGTTGATACTCAGAATATTGGATGTACTAAAGCCAATTTTGCTATGGCACCATAGTGTTATTGCAAAAATCAAATATATATATAAATACAGCCACATGTTAACAATAATTTGTGACTATTACATATTTCATCATTATTATTTGTACTCATAGCCTATTTAACATTTGTAAAATTTAATCATTAGTTAAAATATTCAAAGTTTATGTTAAATCATAAACAAATTTGACCTAAAAATTACAAAAACATTTTTATTCTTAAAAATATAAACTATTACTCTTCAAAATACAAGTTTTAGAATGTAAGGTCTCAACTTTATATTTACAACTAACATTTAATCTCATATGCCATATGTTTTATAATGATGTACAAAAATATTTATCAAAATTTAAAAACAATTGTTAAAAATATAAAATTAGGCAGTAAATTTGTATTATTTATTTATAATTTGAGTATATCTAGTAAAAATTAAATGTTTTTTTAATATGAAATTTATTAGCAGTTCTAGTCAGTGTTCAAAAACACATTATTATTCTCTAAATTCACTTTTATCTTGGTCATGATTTATTTTATTTCTGTCTATTGTTTCATAACAAATAAACATATTTGTATTTATTTATTCATATACAATTTATATATTATACATATATATATATATATATATATATATATATATATATTTATTTATTCATTTTGTGTGTATTTGTATAATATATTAAATGTCTCAATATAAAGACTAAAACAAATTATTTAATTTAAAACCGAATCGCCTTATTTTTAGCCAATGCACATTATAGATGGAATTTAAATCCATTTAAAATAAAAGCAATGTACAAAATTAAAATGTAT